AAGGAGATACAGTCACTCACTACAAGCTGATCCCTGTGGGAATTCCCCAACACAGCTGTGTTGTATTATTTCAACCTAACTGGAAACGACTGCATGGCCACCCTTGTCTATTATTATCGGGGAACCGACAAAGAGGCTGTTCAACAGGACCCCCTAATGAAAACATGGGGGATTTTGACACAAAAACTCCACTCAGACGAATCACAAAAAAGCGCACAGGTGACTTCTACACGTTTTTGTTTTGAACAGCCAGAGTGTCCAGACTTAAAAAAAAAAACAAACCACATCTAATGTAAGTAAAGCACTTTTTGTCCCGAAAATGCTAATGGCAATGCCTCGCTGCCGTAGTTCCAAACTATCCAGTCAGATCAGTTCACAAGCATCCTGTCTCAGCTCACAAGCACTCCCCCCCCTTGCCGCATCCCGAGGGGCAGAGCTACAGCCCAGACCGAGTGAGAAAACCCGGAAACCCGCTGGAGAGCAAGGGCTTCCATCAATGTCAACTGGCCCTAGCACGCAGAAATATCAAGTAAAGCTGGGTATCTCCTCGCTCTTCTCATATATAAAAAAAATAAATTAGTCTTAAGAGTGCCTGCAATACAATCTTAGCAAAAAACAAATTAATTTCTCTAGTCATCCTGTAACTTCCTCCAGTAATCTAGCTTCCAAACTTTCTAGTTTCTTAAGGAAACCAGAGCTGAGAAGCCATCTGTTATGGCCGGGGAAAAAAAAAAACAAAACAGGAACCAGACAACGAAAACCAGACCGCGTTGTATTTGCAAGGTTTTAACAGGAACAGTGTTAAAAAAACCGCGGTGACTTCCAAATTCTAAGCGGGCTTTTCTCGAGACTCCGAGACAAAGAAGGAACCTCTATATCACAGTTTCTATGTCCCAAAACTCTCTATCCCAGTGTTGGGAACACGAGAAACTTAGCGAGCGAATCCCCGTCAAACACAGGGGAGCCGCGTGTATCTTTGACCGGACTGAGCAAAACCAATTTAAAAACCTCACAAACACAACCCAGGAGCAACTCAAACCACTGCTTCCACCAAGGGAAAACACCGCTGTCGCAGGTGGCGCCGCAGCCTGCCCGAGGAGCTGAGTTTTTATTGTTTTAAAGCGAAAAGCCGCGTCCCTTTTGTTCCTGCCGGGACCTGTTGCGCCGCGCGGGCCGCGAGGGTTTCCCCGGCGCAGCGGAGCGGCCGCTCGGCGCGTACCCGTGGCGGGGCCGGGCGGGCCCCCGCGGCGGGCCCGGGACTCACTCTGGCTGTTGGCCTGCTGCCCGTTGGCCGGGATGGACGGCGGCGGGTGCTGCTGGTGCTGCTTGCGCGGCGCGTGGTTCTGCTTCTCCATGTTGAACCCCTTGTTGCCCTGCATCTTCCCCACCTAAAGGGCGACACGCACAGTCAGACTCGGCGCCGGGTGGGTCCCGCCGGCCCCGCGTGCCAGGGGCGGGGCGGGCCCTGCAGGCCGCGCCGGGCCCCGGCACCGCCGCGGCGGAGCGGGGCTGAACCGCCACCCCGAGGGCCGACCCCCGGCCGCGCGGCCTCACCTTACGGCGGCACCGGCCAGGGACGCGGACACGGACAAAGACACGGACACCGGGACGAGCTCCGGCGCCGGGCGCGGACAGCGGGAGGGGCGCGGGCACCGGGACCGCGGCGGCCCTGAGCGGAGAGCGCGCGGCCGGAACTCGCGCACCCTAGCGCGGCGACCCGCTCCCCCGCACCCCCATTGGCCGCCGCGCCTGGAAAGCCGCGCCGCTGATTGGTTTCGCTCGCCGTCACTCACTGGCGCGGCAAAGGGCGGGGCGGGACCGGGCGGCCGCTCGCGGCCGCGATTGGCCGGACCGGGCGGGCGCGCGCGCGCCGCCAATCAGGGCGGCGGGGCAGCCAAGCTCGGGTGAGAGGCGAGCGGGGGACAAAGGGAGCGGCCGCGCGAGCCGCCCCGCGCGCGACGCGCAGGCGCGGTGCGGGGGCCGCGCGCGTTTAAAGGGCCAGCAGCGGCACCGAGAGGAACGCGTGCGGCCCCCCCCAACACCCCCGGGAGCGGCACCGGGGCACCCCCGGGGATGGCGATTAAAAACCACCGGCAATTAGAAACCGCCCCGGGGCCCGGCGGAGCCGGCGGGTATCGCTCCGGTCTCCTCGCGGCGCCCGCCAGCCCCGTGCCCGCTCCAGCCGCGGGCGCCCCCTCGGGCTCGGCTCGGCAGGAGGGTCCCGTCGTGCCGTGCCGTGCCGTGCCGTGCCCTGCCCCGGCGGCTCCGGGAGAGCGGTTGTGTCCTGCCTCCGGTGGGATTCATTTCACCGCCTCCCAATAAACCCTCCCGTTCCCCTCCGCCGCGGCCGTGTTGCCTGCGGCTTTCAGCTCTCCCGGAGCCTCGAGTGCCCGGTGTCCCGATGTGCCCTGGTCCCGGCCCACGCTCAGCTCCGGCACCCCCGTGTGTGCCCGCGGGCTGGGAACGGGGGCGGAAAGGGCGGCAGAGCCCTCCGGGGAGCGGGGCGGCCAAAGGGGAGATGCTGCCCCGCTGGGAAGGAGGGGGGCCCCCGGGGGCCGGGGAGGGGGATCCTGGGGGGCGGGAGCGGTGCCGAGGGCGGGGGGCGCCGGCCCGGGCGGTCCCTCCCGGGGGCGGCGCCGCGTCCCGGGCCCCCGCGGAAGCCCCGCCCGGCCGCGCTGTCACTCACCGCCCCGGGGAGACGCTCCAGCTTCGGGGAGGCGGTGGCGGCTCCGGGGCTCGGCCGGGCGGGTCCCCCTCGCACAGGTAGAGGCCTTGGCGGCGCGGCCGGGCCAGGCCCCCCGGGACAGCACCGGGGCCAGGTCCGAGCGTGGCGGCAGCGAGAGGGTTAATGGGGGTGGGGGGGCGGGGAGCGGGGTGGCGAACCCGCTCCGCGCGATCCGCTCCGTGCTTTGCGGGTGGCCGCGCGGGCACCGGCGGGAACAGGGGCGCCCCGTTCCACCCCACGCCCCCCGCTGTGCGACCTCCCCCGCACCCCGCCCTGCCTCGCCGGGGCCGCGGCCGCCGCCCGCGCCCGGCTCCGCGCTGCCCGCCCGCTCGGCCCCGCTCCGCCGTGCGGATCCGCCCCAGGTTTTCCAGCCTCCCGGCGCGGTCCGGGCTGTGGCGCCGATCCCGCGCCCGTGATTCCGCTCCGGGTTTCCGCGGCCGCCGCCCGCGAGCGAGTCTCGCGAGCCCAGGCCCCGCCGCGACCAATGGGAGCGCGTCCCTCGCTCCGCGCGGCCAATGAGGCGCCGCCGCCGCCCCCCCGTCGGGCTGCAGCGCGTTGAGGGCTCCGAGCGGCGCCTCCATTTAAAGGGGCCGCGACCCGAATCCGGGTTCTGGGTAGAGCGGGCGGCGCAGCAGCGGGGGGAGCCAGGTACGAGCGGCGGCGGCCGCGGGCGCGTCCCGGCGGCGTCCCGGGAGACGCGGGTGAGGCCGCCTGGTGGAGGGGGGCTGGCGCCTGGGGCGCGGGTATCGGGGGCGGGGGCTCCCCCGCGGTGGGGGGGGTGGTGTGGGGGGTGCGCGCGCCTGGCGGGAGGGGGCGTGGCCTGCGGCCCGCGAGGGGGCGTGTCCGGCGCCGTGCGCCCCCTGCCCGTGTCGGCCGCTGGGGGGCGCCCTGGGGTGGGTCCTGGGGGGGGGGGGGGGGGGGGCCCTGAGGGACCCTCGGCCCGTTTGGGGATCCGGGCTCTGCTCCCCCCCGGGATGAGCGGGAACACACCTGCCTGGCCCCCATCCCCGCCTCCGTGCAGCCCCGGCCCCGCGGAGACCCAGGTGCCACCCTCGCCGTGGCGGGGGTCCGGCCTGTGGGACCCCCCAGTGTGGGTGGGGAGCCCCTGGCTGAACACCCGCCCCGGTGCGGATCGGACCTGTGCACAGGGTGGGGTGGGGGCCTGTGCGACCCTCGCCCCTTTTAGGAGGGGTCTGGCCTCCGCTACCCCCTGGGATGGGTGGGGAACCCACCAGCCTGGCCCCCACCCCAGTGCAGCCCCGGCCCCATGGAAGCTCCAGTGCGACCCTCACCTCTGTCGAGGGGGGTGGTCTCTGGGTCCCGCCGGGATGGATGGGGAGCGGCCAGCCTGACCCCCATCCCCACCCCGGTGCAGTGCAGACGCCGTGCACGGTGCAGGGAGGGAGACCCTGTGCGATCCTCGCACGTTTTGTGGGCATATGGGCTCTGGGTTCCCCTGGTATGAACGGGGAGCCCACCAACCTGACCCTCATCCCTGCCCCAGTTCCATGGAGACCCCAGTTGCAACCCTTGCCCCTGTGTGTGGGGGTGGTCTCTGGGTCCCCCCAGTATGGATGGGGAGGGCCCAGATGAACCTCCATCCCCATCCTGGTACAGAGCAGACCCTGGGGACAGAGGGGCCCTGTGCAATCCCTGCCTCTTTTAGGGGAGGGTTTGGGCTCTGCATCCCTCTGACATGGCTGGGAAGCCTCTGGCCTGACCCCCATCCCTGCCCCGGTGCTGGTGGGCATGGGGAGGTGCAGGGGGCAGCCCCCGGGGGATTCTGGGGCTTGGCTGTGCCTGGCTGGTCCCAGGGTTTGTGGTTCCTGGGAGCTGCCCCAGCCCCTGGTGTGCCCACCCCTGTGGGGCCTGTCCTTGCTGTGGGGGCTGTACTGAGCAGTGGCAGCAATCAGCTGCCCCAAAGCTCTGCCCTGGCACCCACCATGGCTCGGCTCTCCCTGGGTCTCCAGGGACTCTGAGCAGCCTTTTTGCTCTTGTCACCACACGTAGCAGCAAAGTCTGTGGTGCTCAAGGCAGCTGCTGCTCTGTGAACTGTCCAGCCATCCTGACAGCCTTTCCCCCAGTGTCAGTGGGGGGTCTGGAGCCTCTCCAAGGCTCGGGGTGTGTGTGCGTGTCCCTGGGCACCATATGCTGCTGTCGAGGATCTGGCCCCATGAGAGGAAGGTGCAGCCCCATGGGGCTGAAGCTGCCTTGGGCTGCTGGGGGAGGCAAAGTCCAAATGTGCTGAAGCCTCACCATGTGAGCAGCGTTGCCGTGGCCGACGAGGTGCCTTGGGGAGCATCAAGCAGCTCCTGTGTGGTTTGCAGCGGTGGAGGCAGGCCTGGCTGGCTGTGCCTGGCACGGGAAAAGGCCCTGGCAGTCGGATATGCTTGTGTGGGCAGAGGCTGGACGTGGCCTATGTCAGGTGATGGTGGGAGGTAGGATTTTCAACAGAGTGCTGGGGAATGGCTCCTGGAGTCTCTTGATGAGGATGAGAGCTGCTTCATTTGTGCTCTCCCCTTCTCCTGCTGTGCTTCAGCCATGGCTTTTGTTCTAGGCTGTAACTTCTCTCCCTTTCATTGCGGCTGCAATCCCCAAGAAAACTTTTAATCTGCATTTTCTCACCTAACCCTGCCTATCCTGGGATCAAAGCTGGTGATAAGACCATAGCCCTGTTGTTATTGTGAGCTTAGCCTTACTGAAGGAATATCCACAGCCTACAGAGCTGAAATGACTAACTTGAATCTCACAGCCCCATTGTGCATATTTCCACAACCTCCTTTTCTCTCCACACCTGTTTACATCCCTCTCAACTGCCAGTGCCCTTGCTTTGGAGGATGACAGCAGCACTTGATTCCTCCATAGCTCTGACAGCCAGAGCAAGGGCCCGAGGCTGAGCCCAGGCCTCATTTTGGGAGTAAAGCCCCTGTGGGATTTCTTTATGGATGTTTTGTGGTCAGTGGTGCTGGGATGCACAACCCTGATAGACACAGATGTGCTGGCAGAAGCCTCTGATGCAGAAGGGTTGTAGTGAAAGCAATCCAAGGGGAGTATGGAATAGGCTAAAGCTGTGACAATGCATTTGTTAGCTTAGCAAAGGCCCTGCTAGCAGGATTTCACTGGATTGTTTCACTGTGTTGCAGTCTCAGTATAGCATTTTGTGAACTGCTTCCTCTGCTGGCAGCACAGGTGAGGAAATGGTCTGAGACCATCCACACCATTCCTGCTGGCCATGGGCTCTGCTGGTGTCTCCTGGCCACTTACTGGGAGCCTGCTTTGCTGGCCTAGCCCTTGGCAGCTCAAAGGAAAAGGAGTCAGTCTCTGGACTGGTGAGACATTGCTCTGTTCAACACAGCATTAGCCAGGGCCAGCTTGTACAGCTGAACATGAGGTGGAGCCTCCCAGCACTGAGATCCCTTTCCAGGGACTTGGTGGCAGGCACCTTGCAGAGGGATCTGGGGCAGAGGAGACAGCTCTCACTGTGCATCCGGTAGTTGGCTCTGCAAGGCCACTGAAGGAAAATTAGATGGTTTTGCCCTCAAAGATGCATCCTCGTGGTGACTCTGCCCTTTTGTCTTCTCTCTCTTCCCTGTGCAATATTAAGATGGATTTGGGTTGTAAGGGACTCTAGAAGTCTCAGGTCCAACTGATCTCCTGCTCATGGCAGAGCTCACTTGAGACCGAGTTGTTCAGGGCTTTGTCCAGTTGAGTTTTGAGGACTTCCAGGGCCAGGGAATCCATGGCCTGTTCCCAGGCTGTGGCATTCTCCTTTGGAGAGCCACCTGCTGTGCCTGCAGCTTCTATCTCCAGCTATCTGTAGCTGCTTGTGTGATGTGCCAGGACTTTGTGTCAGGTCATCTATGTCCTGCAGCATTTGGGCAACAGGTAGAGAGATCTGGGGGCCATCTGTTTTTTACCACTTCCAGGTCTTTTATTTCTTTTAATCAGTGTCTCAATATTCCTAAAGCAGTTTCAACATACACTGCTTAGGAATGCAGTACACCTCCAAGCCTTTTTTGTTGTGCTTGAGATAGTACTGCCAAAGCTTTTTTCGCTCTCACCCCCTTCTCCTGCATTTAACACTATTTTGGCAGATGTTGTCATGTGGTGAGGGGTGAGCCTTGAAAGAAACATTGCTTATTCATGCTGTAGACACAAAGCTGGTCCTTGAAGCTGAATTGCTCTGCAGATACCAGGTGTTGCTGCTGTGTGTGTACATGGCTTGTTACTCCTTTCTCTGTTGCAAAGCCTTGACACTTTGTGCTTGGGGGAATCCTGGTCTTACAAGAGGATGTGAGAGGATCCAAGCAGCTTCCAACTGCTGCCAGGATGGCATTCTGGATGGATGAGCACGTTCCTGTTGGTTGTCTTAGAGTCTGCTGCTAGTACAGAGGTCTTGGCTTAGTGGCAAGTACCACTGAGATTGAGGAATGTTGTCAGGTACATTTGAAGTGTGGCAGGGAGTCTCCTGGTAAACCTAATTCCAGGCAATTCTTGCAAGCTTTCTGAAATTTGTCCTTGCACTTTCTTGAAGCTGAGGTGAAGTTTCTGGAATGCAAACTCAAAATCTAGTTTGGTCATTCCTGCCTCTGAGAAGACTTGTGGTTGCTGTTCTGCAGCACCATCTCCTCTGTGCTGGAGGATTTGGGCTTTCTGGGTTCTGGGTGATTGCTGTACTATGTTTGAGGCTTGCAACGTGAGCTGGTACTCCTGCTCTGGCAAATGTAGTGGTGGTCTTGGTCCCTTCTGGATTTGTGGGACTGTTAGAAAACAATTGCTGGAGTCTTGAGGCTGCTGGTGATATTCTGGGAAGGCCCTTATTTTCCCCATGTGCCAGTTCCTATTGTGTGGACAGTACCAGGCACACGTGAAGGCTGGCCTGGAGGGGACATGGTGAGAGCAGTCTAATTAGGAACCAATGGTACGTTTGGAGATGAGACAACTGTTCACTGAGCCCTGCCTGCAGACCACAGGCTGAAGGACTTGACCAGTGACATCCTGCAGTAGCTAAAGCTGGGTTGGAGAGAGTCACTGAATGCTGTTGTAAAACCTCCAAGTCACAGAGGGCTTACAGATCCTGGGGTCAGTTGTTTAATCATCTGTTTCTGAGTTTGTCCAACTTTGATTTCTAGCTTTTTGAGTCATCATGCAGTGTATTTGTCATCTCTAAAGGGTCCTCTGCTGTAGATCTTCTTACCTTGCAATTTTTTTTGAGATGGGTCATGTCTCCCCATTTATTTTCAGTGAACAAAATAGGTTTATTACTGGAAGGTGTTTTCTGAGCCATGGTTGATTGATAAAGCACTGGGATTCTTACATTACTGTTCAAATTTTAAAAAAAAAATTATTTTGAACATCTCAGCTCTTCCAGTAACTGTCATCCAGTGTAGACAGGAGCCAAGAAAGAGACAGTAATGGTCTAACATGGTAGTGTGTGCAAGTAGCACTGTACTGAATGTCAGCAGTGGGCTTTGTGCTCTTGAAGACTGAATTTGGGCTGCAGGGTAAGAGCTCAGAGAGCTGCCTCTCCAAAACCAAAATCCTTTCTGCTCCTTTCTGGAGAATTTGGACTGGACTGAAACCTTGTCCTCAGCAGTGTCCTTAGTTTAATGGCGATTCTTCATAAATCCATTTGCTTTAAGATGAGTTGAACAATCTGTAATAAAGGTTTGCAGTGCTTGAATTTAGAAAGCTGTCAACTGCTCACATAAACTCAGCTAAGTCACAGCAGTGAAGTTGGCTTTTGCCGTATTTGTCACTCAAGGTGTAATATTGTTAATGAAGACATGTTTTCCATGCTGGTAGGACATGATATTATTTCCTTAATGTTTTATTATTTATGTATATGTAGAACTGTGTATTGACACTGTTGGGTTTTTTTGAGAAATACTAGATTGGGTGTTACTGTTTATTCAAAAATGTGGCACAAAACATAGGGGTTCCTGAAGAGCTCTGCTCAGGTCTTACAGAGCTCATAGGTAGGAAGTGGCTGAAATGTTAATATAAGTGTTAATATAAGTGTTAATTTTTGTAGTTATTAGTTAATTCTTTTCATATTTCACATGATCTCTAATAGTGAAAAAGATAAATCCTTCAGCCTTCAAAAGGATTGAAAATCAGAATCCATATCCATGAACGAAAGTCCAGGACAGGTCCCCAAGCAGTTGCTGTTCCTTTACTGGAGGAAAGCAGTAACTGCATGGCTGTGCCTTTTTTGTGGGCAGTAAAGACTTCTGAGATATTCACTTCATTGTGAGGGAGTGGCAACAGTATTTTTTTCTTACAGTCTGGTTTTAATTAAATGTTTGATGGTAGATCCACATTTCTGTAGGTAGGCCACGTGTTCCCTTGCTAATAATTACCCAAGGACACTGAAGATCTGTGCAGTTCCACCGCCACTGATGTCTTTAATAAGCTGAATAAAGTCCCAGGTAGTCACTTGGTGTGCTCGGGTGTCCTGGCAGAGATGTCACACCCTGAGCTCCCATGTCTGGGAGGAGATCCACGTGCCCCCTCTTTGGCAGAAAGGGCAGGACAGGTCTGGTAGTCACTGGATTTGGCAGTCAGTGTCCCAGTCCTGCACACTCGGGGAGGACTCTCAGCCATCCCATCACTTCTTTGGAAACTCTTGCACGCTCCTTGGGAAGCACTGTGCTGCAGGCTGGTGTGCAAGGGACTTTGCTCCTTGAACTTGTTCTCTTCCCAAGGATATATCTGTTACTGAATACTCCAGAGGTGCTGAGTGCTAAGTAAGGAGTTTCCAAATGACCAGTGGAGCAGTTGTATCTGCTGTAATGTGCAGGATTTCAGCACACTGCCTCCTCTTTGTTTGGCCAAGTCGTGCTCTAGTGTACTCTCCTCACTGCCAGGTATGTGGCTGGAAAAGAGGAAGATTTCAAGCAGACCAGTGAGCAAACCCCAGCGACTGAGCTGGTCCTGGAATAAAAAAGATGATGACTTGTGGTGGATCATTTCAGCATCTGCCAAAAACAATAAGCTGTTCTGCTTCTGTTGTAGAAAGTGAGAAAAGACTTTACCAGAAGAAAAGTGCACGCTCCGTTTGCAGCTTAACTCACTGTGAAGCTCAGCAGAAAGCCCAGATGAATCTGAGTGCCTGGGGCAGACAGAAGTAGAGCTTCTTACCTGGCTGCAGCTGAGCAGCTCTAATTTCTTTAGGTTGAGTTTGACTTCAGAGCAACTCACAGAACTGGAAAGCATCATTTTCTCCTGTTCTGAGGGCCACCCTCTTCATCCTCATCCACTAGTAGTTGAAAGCCATTGTAAAGAATTCATTGTCAGGGACATTCCTTGCTTTCCCACTCAGACTGTTTGTCAGCATCATGTTGGGTCCTGCCTCAACTCTTAACTCCATCAGCTTTTCCAGATTCTCATAAATACACCAAGAGTTAGCATTCCTGTGCCCTGTAACCCCTTGGAGCTCTGCTGCAGCAGGTTGAAAACAAACAGAAGGAAAATACTTAAAAAAACTAAATGTTAAGCTGCAGAAAATAGAGCCACTGGAATTTCTGGAGTATAAGTTGGTTCAAAGTGGGATTAGGCAGACTCATAGAGGATTTGCCCAGTACAGACTCTTAACAGTGACATTGCCAGTACAACTCAAGCCAAGTGGTTCTTCAGCAGCTGAGTCCTGCCTGATGAGAGGATAAGCTGAAGAGGAGCATCCTTTTAGTTATGTTTCTTATACTCTCTCCCCAGGTGTTCATTCTTGGTGTGAATAGGAACAGGATACTCAAGTACATGGTCCTTTCATTGGACTGACTGCAGTAGTCCTTAGCTCTGCACATCCCAAGAAGAGGTTTTAGGTCCTTCACCAGAACGTGTGAGCTGTTCTGCTCTGCTGGGAGGATTCTGATGAAAGGGGACAGCATCTTGAACACACGGGGGAGCACAGGGCTTCCAACCAGAGCGTGCAAGTGAGTGGTCTTAGAGCAGAGTCTGGGGTCTGCAGAAAGGTCTGCCTGTCCCAACCACATACCAATAGTTTGGAGTTGCCTTAATCTGCAGAATACTTTTTCTCTTTAAGACTTTTGTTGGTCAGTGATGTCGCCATTAATGTCAGAGTTTTGTCTTTGCATCGTAATGCCCAGAGCTTGAAAGCAGTGTTAAGTTGTGCACTGCTGAAAGCAGATGCCTTTGGTCTACTCGTAGAACACGAGTTGCATGGCAGGTTCGCAGATTAATTGTTGCTTGGATTATCCTCTGGGAGGGAATGCCCAAATGGATTTCTTATGCTCCAGATTTGCTTCCAGGATCTGTTTCTACCAAGCAAAGCCTAGGCCAGCTGAACGTGGCAAATACTGTAGGAGAGTCAGCTTAGTGGCTCATTGCAGACTCGTGCAGAGTGTCTGAGGTGATTTTGAGGAGTATGTTAGCCCTGTTAGGTATACCTATGAATAAACTTTCCTTATTCGTCTGGGTGGCTTGTCATGTTTTTGCTTATTGTTGTAGGGTCTGCTGTCTGTCTGGGGGACATCTTTGAGCAGGAGGCATTGTTTGTATTCTGAGCAGCAGAAAAAAAATATGTTTATCATCTTGGGAGGGTTCTCATTTGCTTCAGATCCCTAGGACCTTTCTTTCAGATGTCTTTGTTTCTATTTCACTTTGTTCTTCTTTCTGTCAGCCACCCTGAAACACGTATTAGATCTTGTAATGCTCTGGAATTATTCTAGAAGCTTTGTCTCCTCTTGTAACTAAAAGTAAACAGAATCACCAAAGTCTTTAGTGATGAAACTTGCTGGGCATCTCAGAAGATTACATTTGCTGTGGTTTCTGTTCATGATTGTGGGAACAGTGCTTGTCTGCCATCGGGAAACAGAAAACTTCACTGTGTTTTAAGATAAAATAAGGAAGCAGTGGCTTTGAAATCCAGATGTTTGGTATGATTTTACTAAACTCCTACTTGAGTGAGGTTCAGAAGTTGGGTACATTCTTTGTCTGAATATGTCCTGTTTAGTTCTGATCAAACCATTTGTAAGTGAGACTTGGTTATCATTTCAGAGCAAAGGATATGAAGAAAGAATTAAAGCTATCACCAGTGAAATTATTTCAGGCTTCCTCCTTCATTGATATAGATGAGTTATGCCCATAGTAAGCCCCAGTTGACAGGAATACTAGATTTCTGGTTCAGGGCTTAAAACAGTGCCAAATTTAGAATTAGTATTGCTCTGATAGGGAGGGGTAGGTTCGTGCCACATCTTTTGATTCGAGTGCCTTTCTTGTAGTGTCTACCTACAGCCTGTTTTGGGGACGTGATGCTACTTGAAGTCTTACTCTGCCTTACCACTTGTAGACTGCAGCTCCTACTCCCTTTCCCTCTTCAGGTTTGTCAACCATTCTCTCTTTGTGGGGGTATAATTAATTTTTAGACAATATTACTTGTCTCATCTCAAAACCTTGACCTTTCTGTCTTGTGATAATGCCAACCATGAGGAGCTGGGCTGTAAATTTCCCTCTGAGGCTGGCAATCTGCACCACACCTTCCTGCTCAAGAGCACTGTCTGCGCCCTGCAAAGTCACACTGGTCTTTTTTCCTGACTCTGCATTGCGTGCTTGTGTCTACCTTGCTACTTGTTCTTCTTATGACTGCTTTTAATGTCAGACCTTTATCTTGCCACTCTCCAGAACTCCTCCCAGTTCTAACTTAAGCTTTTCTAATTGTTCTGTGTCTGAATATTAGCCCACGTAGTTTTGGGGCTATGCAGTAGCTGTAGTTATACTGTAACATTGTTTTTATCTGTCCTCTGGCAAAATTAATGCATCTTGTCATCCTCTAAGGCTACGGGGCTTTATTTCTACCTCTATTTAAGAGAGGTTTAAGAGAAAAGATATTTTAAAACTAAAATATGTGTTAGCTCCATGAGAACAGATCAAGAGAAAGGACAGACCAGATTATTTGGATAGAGAGGAAGGCGAGGATGGAGATATCAGACACCACAGAACAGCTGTGTGGAGCCTCCTGAATTGGTACTCAAGTAATTTCTGATGCCCCCCTGTGTCACTGAGCATAAAGAAGTCTGTTTGCCGTGCTCTGGTGAGGTGTGTGAGGGCTGTAGAGTTCCCAAAAGTCTGCCATACTGGACTACTGCGTCCTGCTGCTGCTGTTTGGCTTTAGATTTTTGTACCCTCACAAGCAGAAGTGCCCTGCTGGTGTCTGGTATCCTGGTTATGGCTGGCAGCATTCCTGGGCCTTGTCTTACTCCAGCCGTGTTCAGAACAGTGGACAGTTCATGTGCTGTGTTAGAATGCTTTTCATTAACTTGCAAGTCTTTCTCTCATTTCCAGTTGCCATCTTCTAAATGGATTCCAGTGAATTTTCAGGATCTATGGACCCTCTGTCCTTGCCTGACAAACCGCTTATTGGAGATCTCCCTGCTGACATGGAGTTTGGTGAAGATCTCCTGGGCTCCCAAACAGCTTCCACCCAGGAAGCTTCAGTTCTTCAGCCCCCTGGCTGGGATCAATCCAAGCAGATGACTGCAGATGGGGACTTGGACCTTCTAGTGAAAGCAGACAGCCTGTCTGAACTAAATAAATCAAATGACCATGTTCTAGATAAACCTAATGTCTTGGATATGCTGGAGAAACCTGATGTCTTAGATGACTTGGATAAAACTGCTGACTTGATGGAGCAGGATAAACCTGAGGGTCTGGATGGGCTATGTAAGGCACATCCTTCCCAGGACATGGAGGATGGACCATCAGACTCCTCTGCCCTCTCTAGAGAAGCCCTTGTTCCAGAAACATGGAAAGAAGGGGAGGATGCACCAAAAAATTGTTCTGGGGACCTAAAGGAAGACGGTGCTGCTGCTATTCCTGCACTGCCTGGTGACAAGGCCCCTGAATCACCTCGAAAACCCATTCCTGACTCTGGGAACCTCAGCAGTGCCCCAGCCACGGAAGAAACCACAGCACAGTCCTCGAGTCCAGCAATGCCCCCACCCCAACTCAGTCTTAAACAGACAAAGAAGATGAAGTTGAAAGCACCAAGGAAAAGCTCACCCCTGCAGAGGGAAGGGCTGGCAGGGGAAGCAGAGATGGAACCGATCCCAGACAGCAGAACTGCAGCTTTGCCCCCTGAGCCTATGGAGGAAAACCGGGCAGAGAGAGGGGATGATAATGGGAAAAACTCGCTTAAAGAAAATAGTGTACTCAAAGCACAGGAAGCCTCAGCACCAGCAGGTAAGTTGTTGGCTCAGCAGAACTTGGCTCCCTTTTGCTCAGGAGCTCATCAAGCTGCAGGTTGCTGAGGCTGGAGTCTCTTCTGCACTTCAGCTTTTCCCATCATTCCCTGCTATGGAAACATCAATGGTACTGATGGTCTAGGTTTGGGCAAAGCTTCTTGCATACAGGGAATAGTGCTCTGGTGCACACAAGCTCTTGCTCAGGCTTTCATGGCTTTAGCTGATTATCAGTGCTTGTGTCAGCCCAGGAGCTTCCCTGATAAAACTGTGGCTGTGCATCAGCTTAGCTCACACTCTTCGTCGCTGGAGTCTTTGCTGGAACTGAGGGTCATCAGAAGGTGTTTCCAATAGGCAAAGTTCCTCTGCCCAGGCTGACCATCCCCAGGAGATGCTCAGTCTTAGTTCAGAAGCAGTTGGAGGTAACTGCCCACCCAGCCTGCCTCCCCCATGCAGGGAGGTCTCCCCCTCAAGGGCTCCTCCCAAGCTGCATGTTTGGATCTCCAACCACAGATGGTGGATTTAGGAGCTTTCCTGTGTCTGATCACCACCAGAATTGTACTTGATAGCCAGGGCTGACCCAAATGGTGACTGCATTTGGAGAACACCTGTGGTCTTCTGTTGGAGAAAAGCAAGATGTTAGATGACAGCTTTTTCTGTGCTTCTGTTCCAGGAGAAAGCCTGTCTGGGAAGGGGAGTGAGCTGCCAGCTGAGAAGGTGAGGAGAACGCAGTCAAATATGTATGGTACAGGAGCATAGAGTGTGGCTGGCTGTTGTCAGACTCTGTGAGGGACACTGGCTGCCTCATCACCCCTCTGGGAAGGAGTTTGCATGACTCCTGTGATGGAGTGATCCCTGTGCACTGCCACTGTGCTGTAATGTGGCTTCAGCATGTCCCTGCTACCCACAGCTGAAATGTCATTCTCATAAGCCTACTTCCCCCTCTCCTCTGTCTTGCCAACTCTGGTCAGGTATCCATGGAGTTTTATCCATTTTCAGCCTAGCTGTTGGGAAAGCAAATCCCAGAGGCTAGAACTCCACCATGATCTGGGATATTTATCCATGGTTTTCCTAGCAGATAGTTAGCCTAAATATTTTCTGAATGTCTTCTAGGAGCAGAAAAGAAGTGAACGACCCAGAAGATCAGAAACTGCCAGGCCTGAAACTGTGAACTCCTCTGAGAGCAGTAAGTAACTAGGGTTGGTCAATGCCTGTTTTCAGCCTGAGAGAAGGGCCCAGATCCACTGGGGGCAGGTGGTTCATGGTGTGAGTACAGTGGGAACTCTGGAGCTTCTGTGCAGACTTCCCTTCTACACTGGACAGGTCTTTTCACCCCACCAGTCTTCATCCTCGGGTATTTGCTTTCTCAGGGCACTTAGGTCAAAGCAGACAGTGTTGTCTTATTTTTACAGTGATTTGTGGACACCAAGCACTAAGTAATAGGATGAGGCTCAGGAGTTGTTCCCAGGAAACGCATCTTCCATCTCCTCAGCCAGGAACTTTCTTCCTTTGTCTCTGGCAGCAGGCTGTCTGAAGGAAGGTTGCAACTTGGGGATTTTCCTGCAGAAGTGCATGAAGTCTCTGAGGTGTTTAGTGTCACCCTGCCATTCCCTAACATTTATGGTTGCTCTTTTATTGCCTGCCTGTGCTGTTTCTTTAAGGTCTGCTGGCTTTTGGAGGGTTTTCTGCTATAAAAGTTCACACTTTGGGCTTCTGCTCAACCTTGACATATCATGACTTCCTAAAGTGGAATTGTTCTTAAACCCAGTTTGCTTAAAGACCTCTTGATTCATCTCCAGTTCCAACAGAATTTCTTTGAAGGGTCCCTTTATCATTCCACCCAGACAGGTACAAAGTACATAGAGGGGCTCCAGAAAAGTGACCCAGAAAGTCCCAGCATGTGTCTCATATCAGAGTTTCTCAGTCCCTAATGAGAGATTTCTGTGCCTCTTTCTCTGCTGCTTTTTAGTTCCAGTGTCTGACGAAGACTCTGATGCAATGGTGGATGATCCCAACGACGAGGATTTCGTTCCTTTCCGCACGCGGCGCTCGACCCGCATGTCCCTGCGCACCCAGATGGCCCAGCGAGCCGCCCGCTCCACCTTCACCAAGATGACCTGTGCCAACTGCAGGACCCCCCTGCAGAAGGGCCAAACTGCCTACCAGCGCAAAGGGCTTCCTCAGCTCTTCTGCTCCAGCTCCTGCCTCACCACCTTCTCAAAAAAACCACCTGGCAAGAAGATATGCACCTTCTGCAAAAAGTGTGTGTTCATTCCCCTTTCCTCAGTGCTCCCATGCTCGTGACCCCCCTCACCTGCTCCACAGCTCTGCCTGCCAGTCCCCTTCCTATGGCCCTCATTCACCCACATCACTCCTGCCCACTGCCAGCTGCTGCCCCATGTCTTCCTTCACACACTGCATATCCCACGCTCCCTACACCCCCTTCACGTTATTGCCACTCCCTGCCTGTCCCCAGACTCAATGCCCCGTATTCCAACCTCCTCTCAAAACAACCTCCTGCATGCTCCGTCTTCAGACACCACTCCTCTGGGCCAGGACAGAAGCTGCTGTGAGACAGTTCTTGCCAACTGTTTGGGACACCAGAAAGTCCTGTGCGTTGCAGTGGCCATCCTATCCCTTTGTGGCAGGACTCAAGTGTCCCTGCACTAACACATCCCCTCCTGATCCCCAGGGAGATCTGGAACACCAAGGACTCTGTGGTTGCCCAGATTGGTTCAGGTGGCTCTTTCCACGAGTTCTGCACCTCTGTCTGCCTTTCCCTCTACGAGGCCCAGCAGCACAGACCAGCACCTCAGTCTGCAGATGCCTCGGACACCAGCCGCTGCAGTGTTTGCCACAAACCTGGCGAGGTAAATAAGTCCCTTGTCCTTCCCATGCCCTGGATGAGGTGCTTGGGACCTGCAGCATTTGGCCCTGCCTGGGACCAGGGCATTTGCCAGGTTTTCCTGTGGTGTGAGGCCTCAGCCCCTGAGCTGTCTTGGGCTCACTCCCAGGTCTTTTTGTGTTGCTGTAAACCAGCCCTTATTTTAGCAGAAGGAAGGAGGCTTCTGCTTCTCCTCACCCTGAAGCTCACTGCTTCCTACCACTCTGCTCTCCTAGTTGCTCCACTGACTTTTGGCAAGAGAGGCCACCCTGAGTCCACACCAGCTTCCAGTATGCCACTTGCCCAAGTCTCAGTGCAACAGCCTGTTATGCCAAGGGCTGTGGCAGCAGTGGTACAGCTGCATTGGAAGGAGGCCCTTGATGGTTTGGGGAGTGACAGCAATGATGTCTCTGCAGATCCAGCACGAGGTCAGCAACGGGAGCGTGGTTCACCGCATCTGCAGTGACGCCTGCTTCACCAAGTTCCGGGCCACCAAGGGGCTGAAGACAAACTGCTGTGACAACTGTGGACTTTATATCTACAACAAGGGCTTGCCCCTGGAGTACCTCTTCCACGAAGGCCAGCAAAAACGCTTTTGCAACTCTACGTGTCTCAACAGTTACAAGAAGGTGTGTGGATCAGCTGCCTGGAGTGGGGGGGTCTCTGCGGGCACACGGCTCCTTAGCTTGCTGTGGCATAGGGCACTTTATGCAATGACAGGTGATTCAAATCCCCTTGGTCTTTTATTGCTGACAAAGCAGTTAAAAGATTTCTGTGGAGAAACTTTGAAGCAGGCAAACAGAATGAATTTATTCTGCATGAGGTCCATCTTGGACCCAGGAATGGGTCAAGCAGTCCATAAGCTGGACTGTGCAGTGACACTGGTATATACAGTTAGCATGATTCTATTGGATATGTTCCTCTGTGACCTGAGCAGGCTTCACATAACTGTGTAAATGGGATTGCCAAGCTCTGTATTCCTGCCAGGCTACCCTTAAAATGAGAAGCTGAAGTGCCAAAGGCAGCCTTTTTTGCTACCTCCACCTGAACCTGCAGACTATGAGCCTGGTTCTGGCATCAGGTGGTCACTGCAGGAGAGCAGTCCTGTGGTGGATACAGAAGTGGGGTGGGATTTGAGGGTCGGACCTTGCTGGCTGTGATGGTCTCCCTGGCAGCTCTGTTTTGCTCTGTGCTTGCAGAAGAACACTCGGGTCTACCCCTGCATGTGGTGCAAGACGCTGTGCAAGAACTTTGACATGCTACCCAACGTGGATCGCAGTGGCAAGATGGGCCTGTTCTGCTCCATTTGCTGCACTACCTCCCACAAAGTGAAGCAGTCAGGCTTAGTCGGTAAGAGCATCTACACAGAGGGAATCAGTCACCTCTCCACTCTAACTCCTTCCTTAGCTTTATTTATTGCTTGTGGATGGGACTGAAAAGAAGATGTATTGCTTGCCTGGGGAGGAATCCAGTGAGACCAGGGGAAGGAGATGTGGATACGGAGGAACCCTTGCAGAATGCAAACATCTTAATATGGAGAGTAGTGTACATTGCTGTTCTTGAGAATGCAGGGAGCAGCTGTAGTGCTGGGCTGTGCTGGCATTGCCCTTTCCGTTACATGGAGTACCAGGGTGTCCAGGAATGGGTGTGGTCTGTGGTGCAAGTATTGCAACCTATTTTGTCCAATGTCCTATAGAGCCAGGGTCACTCCCTTGAACCCCTGTGCTCTCCATTTCTGTTTAACATTTCTGTCCTAGCAGAATCCAGTGCTCTTGGTTTCCTGGTGTTCTTGTCCCTTGCCTTTTGAGAATAGCTTGTCAGACTGAGGATGAATGAGTAGCTTGCATGCCATCCTCAGAATCCAGTCTCACATCATTTGCTGCTGCCCTCACCAATTCCTATCTGTTTCATCAGGTCCCCCTAGACCCTGCAGCTTCTGCAGAAAGAGCTTATCTGAACCCTGCTATTACAACAAGACAGACCGAGTTGTCTACCAGTTCTGCAGTCCCAGCTGCTGGACCAAATTCCAGGTACTGAAATATCCTTCATGCTGGGCTGGGCCACAGAGCTCATGCCTCCTTTCACACTTAGCAGAGGCTCCACCTTCCTTGAGCTCCTCAGGGAGGGTTCCTAAGAAAGTCTCTGTGGAACACAAGAGTTGCAGTGACTGTAATTGCTCATATCTCAGTCTTGGCCCTATCATCCCCTTCCTCCACTGGGATAAGGCAGGCTGTAATTCACTCCTGTCTGTCAGGTTATGCCCAATGGAAGGGCAGTGCAGAGCTGTGCTGCATGAGTGGTTTGGGATGCAGTGGCCTTACAAGAGCATGAGCAAAAGCACAAGTAAGTCAGCAAAGCAAGGTACACACCTGCTAGCTGGGTGGAAAGGGGCAGAGCTCCTCTCTGAATCAGGTGCCACCAAGAAATATAAGCCTCCTAGAATGTATTGTCTAAAAACTTAGAGCCTGCAGGCCTGGATACCTCATGTTTGATAACCCTCGAAGGCTTGACTAGTGGTTTTTAATCTTCTGACGTTAAGTTTCAGAATGTGTGAAATGTCTGTGGTATTCATAGGCGACTTGAAGGTTATTAGTTTTGTACAGTTGTCAAAGAACAGAGTAACAGCCAGGAAGACCTGGGAAACTTAGGCCAGGACGTGCGAAGTGCAACTGAGAAAACAGAGAATCTAGAGGTAAGAGGTAGTTACTGGCAGTTGCAGCATTTGGGTTTTGGATTTTTTTTTAATTGGTTGTGGGGTTTTTTAATTGGTGGGGGGTGGGGTTTTTTATTGTTGTTGTTTTTGTTTTGGGGTTTTTTTGATTGGGGTTTTTTGGTGTTCTTTTATGTATCCTTGATGTAATCCTTCACTGAGATCACAAATAGTGTTGGTAGTGCAGCTGTAGTTTTTACAGTTTTACACTTCACAAGACTAGAATTATAGAAGACTTTTAGTTGAAAGAGACCATTAAATGTCATCTAGTCCAGCCTCTGCAGTGACCAGGTACATCTTCAACTAGGTCAGGTTCCTCAGAGCCCTGTCCAACCTGACCTTTGAATATTTACCATCTACCACCTCTCTGGGCAACCTGTGCCAGTGTTTCACCATTCTCATTGTGAAAAACTTCTTTATAGTTAATCTAAATCTACTCTCTTTTAGTTTAAAACTATTACCCCTTGTGCTATCACAACAGGCTCTGCTAAAATGTGTGTCCTCTTATATCTTTTTTATAAGTATCGAAAGGCCACAATAAGGTCTCCCCAGAGTGTTCTCTTCTCCAGGCTGAATAACCCCAACTTCCTCAGCCTTTCTTGATGGAAGAGCTGTTCCAGCCCTCTGGTCATTTTCATGGCCTCCTCTGGACTCGCTCCAACAGGTCCATGTCCCTCCTGTGCTGGGGACCACAGAGCTGGAGCTCTGCAGGTGGGGCCTCACCAGAGTGGAGGAGGCACAGAGTCACCTCCCTAGACCTGCTGGTCATGCTTCTTTTTGGGCAGCCCAGGGTACAGTTGGCTCCCTGGGCTGTGAGCTCATGTTGCCAGCTCATGTACAGCCTCTCATCCACCAGCACCCCCAATCCTTGGCAGGGCTGCTCTTGATCTGTTCATCCCCCATCCTGTACTGATACTGGGGGTTGCCCCGACCCAGGTGCAGCACCTTGCACTTGGCCTGGTTGAACCTCATGAAGTTCCCATGGGCCACTTCTCAAGCTTGTCCAGGTCCCTCTGGATGTCACTCTATCCCTCAGGCTTGTCAACTGCATGACTCAGCTTGGTGTCATCTGCGAACATCCTGAGGGTTCTCTCAATCCACTATGTCATTGATGAAGATATTAAACAGGACTGGTCCCAGTATGGATCCCTGAGGGACACCACTTGTTACTGATCTCCATCTGGACACTGAACCATTGACCACTACCTTCTGTGCAACCGTCCAACCAATTCCTCATCCAGTCCACGCAGCAAATCCATCTCTCTCCAATTTAGAGAGAAGGATGTTGTGGGGGACTGTGTCAAAGGCCTTACAGAGGTCCAGAGAGGTGACATCCGTAACTCTCTGCTTCTCCACTGATGTAGTCACTCCACTGAGGAACTAGGTTAGTCAGGCAGGACTTGCCCTTGGTGAAGCCGTGCTGGCTGTCTTGAATCGCCTCCCTGTTCTCCATGTGCCTTTGCACAGCTTCCAGAAGGATCTGTTCCATGATCCTCCCAGGCACAGTGGTGAGGCTGACAGGTTGGTGGTTCCCAGGGTCCTCCTTTCTGCCCAATTTAGAAATGGTTGCAATGTTTCCCTTTTTCCAGTTACCTGAGACTTCACCAAGTCACCTAAATTGAATTATTGCCATGTAAAACCAGCATTGTACCATATGAGTAAACCAAGGCATAACCTGGATTAGGAACTGTCTTGCTGGCAGATCTCAGAACACACTTGTCAAACTAAAACAGCTGAAGAGAGTGTTTCAAGATGGTTTCTTGGGGATCAGTATTAAGCTTGGCTTAATACCGATCAATGGAGTTCAATGTTTTCATTAGTCATTTGGCAATAAAATCAAAGTAAGCATAATAAAATGTTGCAGATGAAATGAAAACTGGTGACCTTAGCCCATGCTGAAGCCAGGGCAGTCACAGAAAGCAAAGCAATTGGATTGATTGACAAGGCTGGTTCCTCCTAATCTGTACTTAAATACAGTTCAGTGTAAGATCCTGTGTCAGCCTTACTCAAGTAATGTGGGGATGCAAGTCCTGGGAAAGTAAGGATTTTGAAAAGACCTTGGGATTACAGCAGATAAGCTGTTCAGTATGAGTGTCTCAGTTTACAGCCACAGAGGGAAGGATTAATTAAGTTCTTGCAAGCAGAAGCAGAAGAACATGGAGTTAAAGTTTGAGGGCTGGGGAGCAAAAGAGCTACCTAGAATGTTGGACAGATAGGAAATATTTTCCAATGTCTGCTTTATTTTCAATATTGCAGAAAACTTGGAAGTATCCTGAAAAAAAAACCAAAACAAAACATAAAAATTACATTTGGGCTTGAAAAATGCTTGTGCTGAGGCACTTGCAGAATGCCTTATCTGAGGTTATCAGAAAGAAAACCAGGAAGATGACTTTATTAATAAATAGATCCTTGTGGACAAGACACCAAATGCTAAATGGCTGTTTAATCTAGCAGAAGGTGGAATGAGAAAGGCTGCTTGAATTCTGGAACTCCATTACCTTGAAAATAGAAACCAAGCAGCTGTGCTTCAGGAACTTTTAGAGAAGAGGTTGCAGAGCCCCCATCCCTTGATGTTTTCAAATCCAGTGGTGTGGCAGCTTGAAAGCTTGCCTTCCTGAGAAGAGCTGGACCCAGCACATTGGGAGCAAAGTGAAATTGCTGTCAAGAATCTGCTCTCCAGGAGCTTGAGACATGATCTGGTGGACTGACTGAGTCACCAACGGTGGCAGCAGGTCTGAGTGGGGCCGGGTGGGCTGCTGTGACTGTGGAGGAGACAGGCAGTGGTGGCAGTGAGAAGCAGATGTCCACTGCCCTCCATGTGCCTCTCCCTCCATAAGCTGTCTCTTCTCCTGCAGCGCACCAGCCCGGAAGGTGGGATCCACCTCAACTGCCATTACTGCCACAATCTTTTCAGCGGGAAGCCAGAGATCCTAGACTGGCAGGTGAGGACTTTCCCGGGGGGAATATTGAGTTGGAGGCCAACACTGGTGAGAGCTGCAGGGCTCCTTCCTCTCTCTGCTCAAAGCAGAGCTCCTCCTGTGCCAGTTCTCTGAAAGCCTTGGCTGCAGAGACGTGCTTGGAGACTGTGCCTAGTGCTGCACTCCTGGAGTTCAGCGGGATGTCGGAAGGGCAGGAGGAGACCACTTCTGCCAAACCCTGTGCCAGGAGAGCTGGGGAGTTGACTCAGCCCTGTAGTCTTTCTCCTGCTTCCTTGAGAGGTGTGGGAACCTCCTGCCAGCCTGGCTGACCTGGCAGCGGTCTCTTTGGCAGGACAAGGTGTATCAGTTCTGCTGCAAGGACTGCTGCGAGGACTTCAAGCGGCTGCGTGGGGTGGTGTCCCAGTGTGAGCACTGCAAGCAGGAGAAGCTGCTGCATGAGAAGATCCGTTTCTCTGGAGTGGAGAAGAACTTCTGCAGTGAAGGTACTTGGGGAAGGCATGGGAAAGGCAGAGCCCCCATGCCAGCCCATGCTGGGGGAGGAGAAGAGAGCATGGAGAGGAACAGAGGGGAGATTGTCTTAGCCAGGCCCTGGGGCAAGAGCCTTGCCGTGCAGTGAAGGGAGGACTATTGTGGGGATGGCTTGCTGTCCAGCCAGGCCCTAGGGCTAGATCTTTACCGTTCATTGTGTCCTTGGGGAGGGCCTTCTCACAGCTTTTCTCTCTCTGGGGGCTGGGGAGACAGCAGGTGGCAGCTCCGCTCCTCCTGTCATCATGCACTTCTACGCTCTTGCGTCTGGGCTGGCCTGACCTGGCCTTGCCCTGCCTGCTGGGTTCCTGCACACAGGAGGTTGGAGTCAGACTCTTCCTAGAAGCATGGAGGTGAGAGATGGCAAGTCCCCATGAGGTCCCATCTTATCCCAGCCCCAGGGGCCAGTGCTGGATTGTTCCCTACAGTGTGTTGCGTGTGCTCTGTTGTCTCCGCAGACCTGGATTTTGGTCATGTTTGGGTCAGGGAGGCCCCCAGTTCATCCTGGGAAGGTTTCACTCCTATTGTTTCTCCGCAGGGTGTGTGCTTCTTTACAAACAGGATTTCACCAAGAACCTGGGCCTGTGCTGCATCACCTGCACCTACTGTTCTCAGACCTGCCAGCGGGCGGTCACCGAGCAGCTGGAGGGCAGCACCTGGGACTTCTGTAGTGAAGACTGCAAAAGCAAATACTTGCTCTGGTACTTCAAGGTCAGTATTGGCACTGGCAGCTTGTGCTAAGTGCTGTGGTGGGCACGGCACCCAGATAAGTGGGCATTGCACTGAGGAAGTTCGCACTGCTGGAGTCTGGCTGGCACTGCTGCGGAGAACCTGGCACTGCTGGAGTCCTGCCTGGCAATGATGGGACACTGCTACGGGGAAGCTCACGTAGCTGGAGTCCCCAGCTGATCCTGCCAGACAGAGCACTGCACTGAGGAAGCTCACAGTGCTGGATCCGCGGCTAGTGCTGCTGTGAGAAGTTCGCACCGCTGGAGTCCCTGGCTGGCACTGGCAGGGCACTGCTGTGGGGAAGCTCACAGCACCTTGCTATGTGCACCTTTCACTGGAGAGTTGTGTTGCACTCGGAGGGGGTGTGGTTAGTTACTCGTTGTTTCTCTCCTGCTGATGCGGGCTTTAGGCAGCTCGGTGCCATGCCTGCAAGCGTCAGGGGAAGCTGCTGGAAACCATCCACTGGCGGGGGCAAATCAAACACTTCTGCAACCAGCAGTGTCTGCTGCGATTTTACAATCAACAGAACCAGCCCAACCTGGACACGCAGAAGGGGCCCGAGAGCCTGCTGAACAGTGAGTAGGAGGGAGGGAGGGGACCTGCATAGCTCAGTCTGAGAGACACAGGGAAGACTGAACAGCAGGGGGTGGAAGCTTCCTGCCTGGGACTGGAGGAGACGCTAGGGAACAATCCTGCACTGGCCCCTGGGGGGGAAAGGACGGAGTGGGACCTAATGGGCTTCTCCATCTCTAACATCTATGGTTCTATGACACACAGGGCCCAGACGGGAGGAGCCGGTGCCAGCGTGCTGCCTGTAGCTCACACTCTTAGCGAGGATACTCAGGGATTTAACATCCTCAAGTTGCCAGCGGAGAGCTCGATTTACAGGGTTAGGGGACAGCGTGGTTTGGCATGACAATCCACCTGCAGCCCCACACCACCTCCGAGCTGTGACCTTCTCAGATCTCATAAGCTAATCTGGATTGGGCCAGGTCAGTGCTTGGATGGGAAGCATTCAAGGACAAAGAAGGGTGCTGCAGGAAGTGGTGCTGGTGACGCTGTAGGTGGGCTCTCCTCAGCCAGAGCTGAACCTAGAACGGTCTTGAGGGAGCACTGAGCTGCTGGAGGCACTCTTGTCTTGTGATGTTAGATTGGAGTCCTACCACTTACCCAAAGTTCACTGCATCTTTGGGGAGTTGCCAGCCCTGTCCCCCAGATAACCCCATTCTGCATCCATGGAGTTCCAGCTGGAGAGGAGATTTTCGCTGCCTGTTGCCCCATTTCCTATCGTTAACTTGAGCCAGTTGCTTATGGAAGATTGCAAAGTGCTTTGGGATCCCTCAGGATGGAAGGTGCTCGTAGTGAGTGACAAGACGTCACTTGGCCCTCGGATTTTTGCATAATCTCATTCTGCTTGGTCTGGCATAGGCCACAATGTCCTTGGTAATCTGTGGGATCTAGTTAAGATGCCTGCAGTTTATGGAGGGACTTGCTTCAGTGCATCAAGCTCCAACACATACCTGCGCTGCAGGTTCAGGGCTTTGCTGCCTTCCCTGGGATTTCATGAAGTGTAAAACCCAGGCTAGGGTGTGCCAAGGAGGGGAAACCAAGACAAGGACCTTCATGTGAGAGACCTCATCCTCCATTTCCAGACTCTTCTAGTTCCTCTCCTGTGGGCTGATTGTAAGATGGGGGAAGCTCTGGATGTCACTGCTGCTTAGATAGCAAAGAGCTGCTTCTCCAGAAGCAGCAGATTCCCCCAGCTAGGGGAGTCCCAACCTGCCTTCCAAGAGCCACATTCCATAAAAAGCTGTGTGAGGTGACAGCTTAAGTGGCAGGACACTGGACTGACCTGGATAAGGAACTGTTGGTTTCTGCTGGCACAAGGGTGCCCATGGGAAGTCTCCTTGATGGTTTACAGTGTTCTGCTGCCCAGGAGAAGAAGAGATGTTAAACTTGCTGGTTCCTGTAGCTCACCAAGTGATTCCACAGCCCTAGCCATCCTGTTGCATTTGTCCTCTGCTTTCAAGGCATGTCACTTGTGAGGGACCAATAACACTGCTTTTGCAACACAGGCACAGTGGGCAAACTCTGCCTGCAGAGGGAACCATGTTTCACATTGTTTAGCCATTGGACCTTGCTACTTGGAGCCGTGGACCACAAGACTCAGAAGTACCTTCTCCACCACCACCAATCACAAGATTCTCAGGCCTCCTGTACCACATCTCTGGAGAGCTCCAAGAACTTTGCTTCTTGGTACGTGGGGCATCACCCTTCACTGTGCCACAGCTGCCTCTCTGTGCTCCCTGTGAGGACTCTGAGGGAGCCAAGGAAAAGCCCTTCATCAGTAGTGAGTGCTCAGCTGAGCACAAGCTCCAGGCTGCCCCAGCAGCTGCTGTGCTTGGTGAATGCTGCTGGTGGCACTGGGTCCTCTGTGTGTTCTGGCACACCCAAATGTGGGATAGCCATGGGCACCCTTGCCCCAGGACTGTGGCATACTGCTGCGTTTGCAAAGGAAGGGTGCTGGAGCCAAGGATCTGCTTACACAGAGAGCTTTCCAGCCCACTGTGCTGTGCAGGGGATTTGAGGAGGAGCAGCTTGTCAGCTCATAATGAGGAACAGCTTTGCCTGGTGCAGTCAGGGTGTCCTGTGGACCTGGCAGCTGCATCGCCAGCTCACAAGGGACTGCTTGGATTTCAGGCCCATGGTGGGCAGAGCTGTTGATTACTTGGTTATTCTGTTGCAGCCAGTGGTTGCCTAGAACCCTTAATTGCTGTGACCCAGAGGCTGCTACCAGCTTAGTGATCTTGAGACTGCTTGTTGCTGATCATATAAGCAGCTATTCTTTAGCTGGAAATAGCCAATGTAATGCAGGATTGAGGAGCTTCTGCTACAAAACTGTGCCCAAACAGTTCCAAGGGGAACTGGCTCTGCACGGGGCTGACCATCTGGAGAAGGTAGAGGGTCAGAAGTCACCGTTGGGGCAGGCAATGCCTTGACAGCTCTTTATTGGTATTCGGATGAGAGTGAAGAACAAACCACAGTTTTCCTGGAAGCCTGGACACATGGAGCTTTGTGGCAGGAGAATCCTGTTTTCTTACCCCTAAATCATTGGCCTGTGGGGCAATCATGTTTGCTTTTGATTCTGCTGCAGCAGAAATTCCGCTCATGTGCCATAGCTTGTCTTTTCTCAGTCAAGCCATTGATGTTTCCTACCTGGACCTGCTGCCCATCCACTTGGGGTCAGGGTGAGTTCTTGGACCCCGAGACTGCTGCAGAACCTATGGCTGAATGCTCAGCTGCAGACTAGGGAGCTTCCTCCAGCTGGAACTTGCCTGCAAGTGGAGCCTGCCAGGCCTCCAGTTGCACAAGAGCTGTCCTGCATTTCCTTAGGACAGAGGAAATCTGCACAGTGCATGGTCTGTGTGTTGGACCTCTAGGAATCTGGGTCTTTCCTGAAGAGCCAGTGTGTGTGTAGGAGGTGCAAATGGACCCACCACTGCCTTTGGGTGCTGAGACCTGCTGCTTTCCTCGCAGGTGTCTCCTCCATGCATGGCCCACAGTTAGTCAGTGCTGTAGAAGGCAGATGTTTTTGGCAGCCACATGGGTGACCAGGGCTCACTGGAGGCTGGGATGAAGGTGCTCTGTTAGCTCATAGGCCTTTGAGATGGGTGCAGGTTCTCTGCAGAGCAAATGAGCTGGAATTATTATCCAAGGCAGGGTGATACTGTCACCACCTGAGACTGTCTGGCACATGCACCTCTTGTCTGTAGGTGATCCCTTCTTTCCTTAGGGGAATATACTGCATCCCTAGGGCTGGGGCAAAGCAGTCTCTCTGCTTTCTGGGATATCTCATAATGCTACTGATAGCTCTGTCACCTTCTTCCTAGGGATCTCGAAGCACTTTGCCAAGATACTTGTAGCAGGGATATGGAGGCACAGGGAGGGGCCATAGCTCGGTACAGCAAGCCAATAGGCAGAGCTGGGAATAGAGCCCTGGATTCCTCTCTCAACAAGGGGCTGGGATTTCTCCTGACCTGCTGTGATGGGAATGGGGTGGACTGCAAGGAAGCACAAAATGACATGAGAGTAACTTGATTTTGGAGTTGTAGTGTCTTCTGAGCTGCTAGGGCTAGAGATTGTGGAAACATTAACTATTCCTGGAGTGGCCAGGAGGAGTTTCTGGGGAGCCTGTCCCTGCTCTCTGGCTGCTGGTACCTCCAGTCCCAGCAGTGGGACACGTTGGCCCAGGAGCTCTTGAACTCAAGAGTTGTTGCTTTCTCTTACAGGTCAGACTTCAGATCCAAAACCAGCTGTCCCTTCCCCACAGAAGACAGAGACTAACATGGTAAGACCCATTGGAGGTAGGAGTTTGCAAGATAGCACAAAGAGAGAACAGTTCTGCCATTGCTCAGGGAGATTTCCTTCTTCTACAATCAATGAATTTTAAGATGTCTGGATAGTGGGAGCTGATAAGAGCTCCTGGGGAGGGCAGTATCAGCATAACTCCTGCAAGGGGGAAGAATAACCATTCCCCAGGAGTCAATGATGAACTCCAGAATAACCTGACACTGTGGCACTGGCTTCTTTTGCGTGGTCCTTTTCTGTGCCTGAGTATAGTCACTGTCCCACTGTTCCCCTCTGCCCCATGGGACAGGAGCCACCAGTGCCAGACTCCTGGCACAGCAGGGACACCACACAGGTTGCTGCCTGCCAGGAGCAGCTTGGCAGTCCTTCATCCAGGCCTGACTGTGGGAGCGTCCACGTGTGTGTTGGGGACTGCCAGGCCCCAGAAGGTGCTTTGGGAGTCACTCCAGCTGTAGCTGTAGTAGGAAAGAGGTTGTGCTGCCTTAGGTGAACATCAGCCTCCTGCTTTCTCCATTTCCTCAGCTGTCAGCAAAGGCCTCCTCAGCCCAGACGTCTTCAGCTGCGCCACCTCCCGCCCCACCAGTGGTTCCAGCCACCCCTCGGAAAAACAAAGCTGCCATGTGCAAACCACTGATGCAGAACCGGGGCATTTCCTGCAAGTTAGAAATGAAGTCCAAAGGATGTCAGACAGGTAGGAAAACAAGACATAACTGCAGGATTACAGGGGCATTTTGGAAAGGCAAGGGGCACATCCCTGCTCCAGACTCTGCACCCAGCTTGAAACGCTGCACAAAGTGTGTTTGGCACCATGTTGAAGAGTCTCTGGGCAGGTGCAGGGCACATGTGGCAGGGCTGGAGGCAGGGAGCCCATTCCCATCATCAGCAAAAGGAGAGATGCAAAGAGCACTGTAGCATGATCCCACTTCTTGTGGGACAACTCATTTTGCTCTAGAGATTGTTAGCTTGGCCAAGGGCCATCTGCTGAGCATGTTCCACTCTGTAGCTCATATTGGGTATGTGTGTGTGGTCTCCAGCATGTGCAAGGCAACTGGACCTCTTGGCAGGGTTACATAAGAGCAGGACTTGCACTTCTAGCTAAGGCAAACCTCTCTTGTTGCCAGGCTTGACTTGCTGCTGCTCCAGCTCTGTCCACAAATCATAGAAGCTGGTGGCTGGAAGGGCTGCAGTGCTGGATGGCTGGGGGCACGTCAGTGTGTGGCAGGGCTGGGTGGAGGAGCTTCTGGGATCGAACTCACTGATGTACTTTTGCTCTTATCAGAGGCTGACTGGAAGCCCCAGGTGGTTGTATTGCCAATCCCCGTCCCGATCTTCGTGCCTGTGCCTATGCATATGTACTGCCAGAAAGTACCTGTGCCTTTCTCCATGCCTGTCCCGGTAAGCAATGCACTTCACCTGCTCCTGTTCTACTGTCTTGATCCTGCCTTGCTGCAGCCTCTCTTCTTCTCTGTTCATCCTCTTCTCCTGCCTCTGCTTTTGTGTCAACCTGCTGAGTGTCAGTTTTCTGCTTGGTGTGCTGCTGTCTACAGGTGCCTGTGCCAATGTTCCTGCCCACCACCCTGGAGAGCACAGAGAAGATTGTGGAGACCATTGAGGAACTGAAGGTGAAGATCCCCTCCAATCCCCTGGAAGCTGACATCCTGGCCATGGCTGAGATGATTGCAGAGGCTGAGGAACTAGACAAGGCCTCCTCGGACCTGTGCGGTAGGTTCTGCCATGGCTTGGTCTGGCCCAACAGCTGGGATCAAGGGGGGTTTGCTGGCTCTTGGAGCTAAAACACCTGCCTGGATTGCTGCTCTCCAAAGCCTCTCAAAAAAGGAAGCAGGGAATAACAATTCCTCAGCTTCTGCTGAGGAGCTACCAAAAGGGAAGAGCTGCAGCAGGGAGCACTGACTGCCACTTTTGAGGGTGCCAGTCTTGCGGCACTGTTAGTTTTTTCAGGTGGCTGTTCAGGCTCTTTCCTAAAGCAGCTTACTAGCTAGAAAACTAGCAGTGCTGACCTCACAGATCTTTTTACTTGGGGGCTGCATTCCTCAAACCCCAGTGATGAGGGTTCTGGCTGGGGAGGTGACAAACATCCAATGTCTTGCTGTCCAGAGAAAGCTGGGCAGTGCAGGTGTCATGGGGCTGCTCTGAGCACAGGACTGTGCTGCACGCAGGGAGCTTCATTTCCCAGCTGTCACAGGGAAAACAGTTGGGTTTATGAACTGCTTTTGCCTTGCAGACCTGGTGAGTAACCAGAGTGCAGAGGGTCTCCTGGAGGACTGTGATCTGTTCGGACCAGCACGGGACGATGTGTTGGCTATGGCTGTCAAGATGGCAAATGTCCTCGATGAGCCAGGCCAGGATCTGGAGGCTGACTTCCCTAAGAGTAAGAGCTGGGGGAAGCAGGTGTGCAGGGCTGCTCGTGCTGCAGCAGGGTCCTCCCAGTGCCCTCAGCTGACTGTTGCCAGCAGCTCTAAGAGCTGTGTGAATTTACCTCCCCATGCCCTCTGACTGACCAGGCCTAGGGCTGAGCCTTGCAGATGACTGCTTGCAGCAAGGGTGAGGGGACTGCCACTTCTGAAGGAGTGTGTGTTTGGCTAGACTAACTTACCTGGTGAGAACATAGGTCTGCAGAGAAGGGGGAATGAGAAGCTGGTTTTAACAGCACAGAGAGCAGGGCAGCGGCATTGGTGTGCTTATGGATGATGATTCCAGAGGAGCCAGCAAGGCAAGAGACGTGGACAAAGCATGACGTCCTGGAAATGGCAGAATTGCTGAATGTCCATTATCAGGCAGAAGGTGGAAGAGGAGGCAGGGACTTGCAGGAGCACAGCAGTGCTGGGCAGGGTGGTAGCAAAGGATAGAATTGATGTGCCTGTGCCTGGCTGTCCACAGTACTGGCCTGGTACAAGGGCATTAGGAATGTTCCTCAGCTTTGAAAAACAAGCAAACAAAAAAATGTCAGAAGGGAAAAATGTGGGGCTCTGGTTATTCTGAGAGTGCTTAGCATCATCTGCCAGAAACATATTTCCTTTGTTGTGCTGTGGCTAAAGTTCATACCAGACAGTGGTGGAGGGTGTGAAGTGTTCTTGCTTCATCTTGCTGTATGTAAAACACTTGCCAGCACAGGGGACAGGATGAGAAGTCTCAGCTGAGCCCTTCTGCCTGTGTTTTTTTTTCAGACCCTCTAGACATCAACCCCAGTGTGGACTTCCTCTTTGACTGTGGGCTGGTGGGACCAGATGATGTGTCCACAGAGCAAGATCTGCCTCGAGCTGTCCGAAAGGTGAGCTCTCTGTGGGTACTGCCTGCTTAAAACTTTTTGGGCTTGGAGCTGCCATCTGGGATGTAGGAGGTGAAATGCCAGAGGCTTTGGTGTGCTGGGGAGGTTGTGCCCTCTCCCCTCTGAACATGCTTGGCCTGTGGGCCACTCCTTGAATGAAAATACTTTGGAGGAGCTTTGAATGCTACAGGTCATGTGAGAGCTGGTCTCATTCCTGTGGCCATCATAAGTAATGGGCCTTCTTGGCTTGGCTGTCAGCAGAAGGGTGCCTGCTGGCATGGGCACAGGCACACTGGGAATCACACACTGCAGTCACAGGTCTGAGGGGTGGCCACAACTCTTGCACCTGTCCCAGGTAGGTGCCCAGTCTCACAGTCTCACCTCTCTTCAGGGGCAGAAGCGCCTGGCACTCTCTGAAAGCTGTTCCCGGGACTCAATGAGCAGCCAGCCCAGCTGTACAGTCCTGAACTACTCATACGGAGTGAATGCCTGGAAGTCCTGGGTGCAAGCCAAGTACGCAGGAGGAGAGACCAGCAAGGGAGAGGAGCTACGCTTTGGCCGTAAGTGCCTTGTGTGGATGCAGTGGAGTGGCAGAGGCCTCCCAGAAGCTGGATCTCAGGGTGCTGAGGTGCTCCTGACCTTGCAGGCTGTTGTCTGAGGCTGCTGTGCTTGTCTCCACAGCCAAGCCCATGAGGATCAAGGAGGACATCTTAGCCTGCTCAGCAGCTGAGCTCAACTATGGCCTGGCCCAGTTTGTCAAGGAGATAACACGGCCCAACGGGGAGCGCTATGAACCTGACAGCATCTATTACCTCTGCCTTGGCATCCAGCAGGTGAGGGAGGCCTTGCTGCCCTCCAGTCCTCCACAGCCAGACTTGGGGGTCAGAACTGGTAGGGGGAGCTTTTACCCTTCATTCTGCTTCCTGGGGACCCAGAGAGGCTCACTGGACTCACCTTCATTGCCTCACCCCAGGACAGCAGCCCACCTGGTTTGGCCTTTGTTTCCAAGCCCAGAGTGTAGGATGTCAGCTGTTTCCCAGCCTCACACCCTTCTTGCATATCCTTGAGGAGGGCTGGGAGATCTCCTCAAACTCATTCCCTTCTTCACTGCCAAGTCTCCTTTGTCATGCCCCAAGATTTTCCTTGCAGCTCTCAGAAGTGTCTGCCCTGCAGCTCTGGTGGCACAAGGAAGGGTGCTCTGCATGTGTGCCCTGGGCTCTCTAGGGAGGGTTTGCATTCCAGGTGCTGCTGTGTTTCTCTTGACTGTGTGTTCTGTCCTTTCTAGTACCTGCTCGAGAACAATCGTATGGTGAATATATTTACAGACCTTTACTACCTGACCTTCGTGCAGGAGCTGAACAAGTCCCTGAGCGGCTGGCAACCCACAGTCTTACCAAATAGTACGTGTCTTCTGAGTACCCTCAGTCACCACACATACCCAGTTTGTGCTCCTAGCCTGGGATCCTCTGGTCTGATTGTGTTCCCCCAGCCTCAACCCTCTTTCTTGGCATAGGCAGCACAGTCCTGCTGTGTCTTGGGGTCAGGCTGACCCAAACTGACAGCAGGGCCAGTGTGGTTTACGCCTCAGCAGCTTCTGTAGCCCACAGTCAGCATAGCTGGCAGCAGAGCACACATGCTTTCTTTCCTGGGACAGTTTGAATCTTTGCAACACTTCACAGTGATGTCTCCACCCTTTGGCAAAGAGGATGCCAACCCAGGGGGCACACTGGCACATGTCTTTGTGTTCCCAGCACATGGGTGAGCCCTGCACACTGTGCTAAGCCTTGGCCAAGGTCTCTGTGCTGCTGCCTTGTGAATGGACTTAACTTAGAGCTCTGCAGAGGCTTTTCATGATGCTGTGATCTGAGCTGCCTTCCCTGCTGTGTCTTGTCAGTCAAAGATCCAGCCTCACCTCTGCGTATTGGCTGTCCCAGGCAGAGGCATTTGGCTCCAGACCTCTGTATTTAGGCAGGAGCTGGCTGTGTCTCTCCTGCCTGCTGCTTTTCCTTCATCTCTCACTGAGTGTGGTGGAGCACTGACCTGGAGATCACTTTGTGGCCATCTATAGTGATGAGCAATTAGAATTAATTTGGGTTCTTGTCTGTGGTTTGGCTGTGATCTAGGGTGGCTTGTGCCAGAGCCAGCATCTAGTTCTGCTGATGGCTCTGGAGAAGTAACCTTATGGAAAAAAAAGATGTTGTGAAGTGTCAGTCTTTCACAGATTTTCTGGGCAGGATGAAGGAATTGCCATAAGGCTGCTGTTGATTTGACCCAGATCATCTCTGTGTGTTGCAGACACTGTTTTCTCCCGTGTTGAGGAGGAGCACCTCTGGGAGTGCAAACAGCTGGGTGTTTACTCACCCTTTGTGCTGCTGAACACCCTCATGTTCTTCAACACTAAGTTCTTTGGGCTGCAGACAGCAGAGGAGCACATGCAGCTCTCCTTCACCAACGTGGTGCGCCAGTCCCGCAAGTGCACCACTGCCCGTGGCGTGACAAAGGTGGTGAGCATCCGCTACTACGCTCCTGCCAAGCAGAAGAAAAGCCGAGGTAGGGCCTGAGGGAACATCTCTGTCCCTCCCCCTTGCTTCCCCTGTTGGGATACAGCCATGATCCAGCTCTCTTCCCCCTCTGCAGATGGTGGCTCTGGAAAACGGAAGCGTGAGGAGGAGGTACCGATGTTGGAGCAGCGGGAGAACAGGATGAACCCCCTCCGATGCCCAGTCAAGTTCTATGAGTTCTATCTCTCCAAATGGTGAGGCTTTCTCTGGAGAAGGGACATGTGCCATTTTGGGGCCACCACTCAGTTTTAGTGGGACCATGTGGAGTGACTGCTGCTCTCCAAATGTTTGTACATGAGCTTGAAGCCTTGCACAAGGTCTGTGCCGCATGTGTAGACCACGGTTGAGAAAATGCTTCTCTCTGGCCTCTTCCACTTCTTGCCTTTCTCCAGACTGGCGCGAGTGTGCCATATGAGTCCAGATGCTTGGGTGGTTAGGGGTTTTGGTCCTGAACAAGGAGCTGCAGGCTCAGTTTGTGTCCTCATCCTCCTGAGTGATGAGAGGCTGTGGCAAGCCTTAAGCCCCCCTTGCTAACCACGACAGCAGGCCAGGCTGGCTGAGCCCCTGAAGCTGAGACCCCCCAGGTCTGACCTTGCTCTCTCTTTGCAGCCCCGAGAGTCTGCGGAACCGCAACGATGTGTTCTACCTGCAGCCCGAGCGGTCGTGCATCGCCGAGTCCCCGCTGTGGTACTCGGTGATCCCCATGGACCGGAGCATGATGGAGAGCATGCTGAACCGCATCCTGGCTGTCAGGGAGATCTACGAGGAGCACAGTCGGCTCAGCAGCCTGGAGGATGACATGGACTAAGAGCGAGGTGCTGCTGGGCTGGCTGCGCTCCAGCCCTGGACACCCCGTCTTCCTGCCTCCCACTGCAGGGCAGGGGCCATGCAGCACGGGAGGGGATGGTGCTGCAGCAGTGCTGTCCCTTCATCATTACCAGACTTGGACATCCCATCCTGCTCGTTACAGGCCTCCCTTACATACGTGGCCCTCATGCTCAGCTCTGCCTCCTCCTTTTGGCTGCTGGGTGAACCATCTTTCCCAGGGCCAGTTCCCATGGCACAGGGGTGGCAGAGTCCCTGGGGCACCTGCCTTCACCCTTGTCCACCCTACCCCCAGCCCTGCCACTCCCCCCCCCTCCCCTGCCCCAGGGCAGGAATCTCACAAGGTGGCAGTGCACCATCAGACCAGTGACCCCAAAGCTTTTACTTCCCTCTTCCTTCATCATTCCCTCATGAGGCTGCAGGTGGTATGGCAGGAACAGTAGCTCTGCTGCTGGGGCAGGATTGTGGTTTCAAGCCATTGGGGATGGACCACAGGCTACCTGAGAGCCTTAGGGTCAGGGGGAGGGCTTTTTCCCAGGTGTGGGAGAGTTTTAGGTTGGCTTCAGAGAGTGGAGGAAGCTGGCACTGGAACATGAGAGCAGAGATCTGGCCTTGCCATGGGGATACCTCCCTCATGTGCAGCTGAGATGTCTCTCAGTTTGGTCAGTGTTTCCTGAGTTGTCTGAAAACTGGAGATGAGTCTGGGTCAGTGCTGCCCCTCTTTCCCCACTGTCCCCTGTCCTGGTGTAGGTCCCCTCCCCCATGCAAGGTGCCATCAGTGGGAACCTCTGCTCCAGCCAGGGGCTTGGGCAGCTGCTGGCAGAAACAGGGAGCTCTGCCTGGTCTCCCCCTCCCTTCCAAAGCAGCAGGCTGCCACCGCCCTGCCCAGAGCAAGTCTGGCTCCAGCTGTGCCACTCCCTGCTGCCTCCTGCCCCTCCTCGTGTTCTGGTCAGTTTTCTTGAGCTGTACATGGGTCTCCTGTTGAGCCTGTATATATTGTTCTGGGCCCTGGCCCGGGGCCATCTGTTCTCTGTGTCCATGTGGAGAGTGAGCCGCTCACCAGTCTTGTTGTAGTGATGCCAGGGCAGTAGGAACTAACCCTGTGTCTCTGGAAACCATTCATTTCAAATAAAGATGTGGAAAACTTTTGGCAGCCCCTAGTTTCCCACCCTGGGCAGGGTGAGCATTGCAGGAGAGCAGGGCCAGTGTCCCTCTGCTGCTGTGCACTGCACTCCTGCCCATCCCTGCCTGTGCTGCCTGCACTTCCTACCTTGCCAGCTTGGGCATGCTGGGATGGCCCCTGACCCAGAGCCCACTGGTGCCAGCCTGGCATGCCCTGCCTGTCCCTGCCCTGCTTCACCTGACCTGTCACCTGCCCACAGGGCTGCAGCCCAACCCAACCCAACCCAGCAGTGGCCGTGCCCTGGCCATGCAGTGTGTCTGTAGGATGGACCAGTCAGAGAGCAATGCCATGTGGGCAGAGCAGGAGTCAAGGGAGGTGCAGTGAGTGTTTATTTGCTCCCCCATCCCCGTTTTACTCTCAGCCCTACTGCTCCCAGGAGTGCTGGGAGCAGCTGAGCCGTGAGCCCAGTGCCATGCCCAACTCTCGTGCTGGCCATGGAATCCATGCCACAGGCCTGGCAGGGCCTGGAGACTGAACCACCACTGTGGCCACCGGTGCATCCCCCATCCCTGACCATCCCAGCAGGCCACGTTCACACTGCCAGGTCTGCCGCTCGCATCTCCCCGTGGGACCCACCAGCCACCCGTAGCCACGCTCCCGCCTTCTTCAGGGGTGCCAGGCCGTGGGGGGATCTGCCAGCAGCCAGGGGGCTGCCAACCCTGGGCAGGGTGACATGGGCACTGCGGGGCCCTAAAGGGCCACTGGGAGTGGTTATGATGCGGGACTTGGGGCCTGGCCCCTGCCGGCACTTGGTGAGACCCAGGTAGTAGATCTCCACCAGGTTGAGCAGCAGGGACACGCAGGCCACCCCCAGCATGAAGAGGATGAAGATGGTCTTCTCAGTGGGCCGGGAGATGTAGCAGTTGACAGTGTTGGGGCAGGGCCAGCGGCTGCAGGTGTAGAGGGGCTTCAGCTGGAACCCGTACAAGGCATACTGGCCCACAATGAAGGCCACTTCCAAGAGAGCCTTGAAGACAACGTTGCAGATGTACGTCCTCAGGATGGCCCCCCGCATGCAGACCTGTCCCCGTGTGTCCCCTGCAGGGAGCTGGGGCTGCCTGGGGCGTGGGCGCCTGGCCCCGCTGCTGGCCCGCGCTGCCGCTTGCTGCTGTGCCTTCTCCTCCAGATGCACCAGGTGCAGGATGTGGCCCAGATACACAAGGCTGGGGGTGGAGACGAAGATGATCTGCAGGACCCAGAAGCGGAGGTGGGAGATGGGGAAGGTGCTGTCATAGCAGGCGTTCTGGCAGCCGGGCTGCTGCGTGTCGCAGGAGAAGCCAGACAGCTCATCACCCCAGACCCGCTCAGCGGCTGCCCCCAGCACCAGGATGCGGAAGACGAAGAGGACGGTGAGCCAGACCTTCCCCACCACTGTGGAGTGCTCCTGGGCGTTCTCCAGCAGCCGCCCCAGCAGGCTCCAGTCCCCCATGGCACACGCTGCCCTGCAAGACAGCCGCCCTCCAGACACAGCCGCCCCACAACCCACCACACTGCCACCCCATCCCCCGGATGGGCAGGAGTGCACAGACCCAACCCAAGGCTGTCCCTGCAGTGTCCCCATCCCAAGGGACCCCCTAACCCATCACAAGGAGGGCAACAGGAGCAAAGGCCTCCAGCAGAAATCTGGGAGCACCAAGGGGAACACCCGCGGTGGTGATCCCTGGGGACTCCTCACCGTAGGTGGGTGTGTGGGGCAGAGCCCAGTGCTCCTGCGCCGTCAGCTCCCGGGATGCAGGATGCTGCGAGGCCCCTTCCCAGCTGGTCCCCAGCTCCTCAGTGGGTGCGGACAGATCTGCCTGGCTTCCTCTGTCCGTTCACCCAACAGCGGGCGTGGGGTTATTGGGGCACGAGGCAGCTGCGTGCCCCATTGGCTTTCATTGTGACTGGCACATGGAACAGCCACTGGGGAAACCTTTTCCCTCTATTTTTGGTCTGGGCACTTTTCTAAATATATTCGGGGCTGCAGGGGCTGGTGCTGGGGGAGCGCAAGCCCTTGGACACTGATCAATGCCACCCAGGGGTCACTGGTCCTGCAAGCTATCTGCCAGGGCACCACAGCCCCAGCTCAGCCCGGGCACTGCAGCCTCCACAGCCCCTGGTGCCACCCACCAGGGCTTGGGTGCAGGAGTGGGCACCCCACGCTGGCACCCCAGCTCCCGGCATGCCCCGGCCAGAGCAGAAAGGAGGGAGGCAGCACCTGAGAATGGAGATTTAATGGCCCAAGATGCTCTCCTGGCCATCTAGGAGAGCCCGAGTGGTGCCTGAGGAATGCTATCCTTGGGACAGGGACAGCAACAAGGCTGTGGGGCGACTGTGGGGCAGGGTTCCCCGCAGTGCTGGCCCTAGCAGGCAGAGCAGCGGTCACCCTTCTCCTGCAGCCCAGAGTTGCGGCGCAGCATGTCCTTGAGGGAACCGTCCTGCTCTGTCAGCAGCTGGTTGATCTCATTCTGCTTGTACTCAGAGGAATGCTTGTGCCCATAGAAGGAGCTCTTCCCCGACGAGGGGTTGGAGTTGTGCCGGCCCCGGCGGGCACAGGCCCGCACCACCAGGTAGACCAGCTCTGCCATATTGAGGACGATGCAGATGCTAGAGGTGACCAGCATGAAGACGGTGAAGATGGTCTTCTCAGTGGGCCGGGAGATGAAGCAGTCAACAGTGTTGGGGCAGGGATAAGCCTCGCACTTGACCAGCCGCATCATCTGGTAGCCCGGGTAGAGCATGTAGAAGATGTACATGAACACAGCCTCGAAGAGCAGCCTGAAGACCACGCTGCAGACGTACGTCCACCACAGCGAACCCGAGATGCGCATCTTGTGCTTCTTCACCTCTTCCATGTGCTTGGCATCCCCGTGCCCCGTCAGCATCAGCAGCTTCTTCTCCTGGTGCTGCTGGTAGGCCACGTGCATGGCTACGAGAAGGGCTGGTGTGGTGACGAGGATGAGCTGCAGGGCCCACAGACGGATGTGGGAGATGGGGAAGAAGTGGTCGTAGCACACACTGTTGCAGCCAGGCTGCTGGGTGTTGCAGGTGAAGGCGGATTTCTCATCCCCCCAGACACTCTCAGCTGCCACCACCAGCACCATTATCCGGAAGATGAAGATGACAGAGAGCCAGATGCGGCCGATGGCGGTGGAATGGCGGTTCACCCCGCTCAGGACCGTGTAGAGCCCGGCCCAGTTCATCGTTTCTCACGTCTGCAGGAGAGAGCGGTGAGAGACGGTGTTAGGAGCAGGAAGGGCCCCTGGCTGAGAGCCACCATGTCCTGGCCCTGGTGGCAGCAGCCCTGGGAGCAACTGGCTGTCACAGCCCTGGCAGGTGGACAGCAGGATGGACAGAGAGCAGGATGGCAGAGTGGATCCTGCTGGTGACAGGGCTCAAGGCAGCATTTTGACCAGACCAGGCAGGAGACCGTCTGGCCCAGCAGTGCCAGCTGCTCCTGCCCTGCCACCCCACGCTGGCACAGGGATCCTAACCCACAGCTGCCACAGAGGGTGGCGGTGAAGATCCCACACCTCCACAGGGACCCCCAGTCCGCACCCAGTGCTGCATTCTTTGGCTAGGGATGGACCCAAGGAGCTCCACAGGCTCCTCTGCACCAGCACATCCCTTCCCTTGTCACCCCACTCCCTGTGGGAGCAGGGAACACCCCATGCAGCCACGCTTTGTCACCCTCCCCGAACCATCCCTGCCTGGGGAGCATGAAGTGACCCCGCACTCCAAGCACAGACCCCTGCCCCACCAGAGCCTCCCACTGGCACTGAGCAGCCCCGGGAGCTGCTTCCCACCCCGACATGAGGCTGCGGGGCTGGAACCTGCTCTCCAGCCACCCCTGGTGCGGAGAGTCGTGTCAACCCGTACCTGTGGTGAGAAAGGGTCCTCGCAAGCTGCCCCCAGTGTCCCCTCTAAGGTCTCATGCCTCCCGCAGGAGAGCTCTGCTCCGCCTGCCCTCGTCTCTCTCTGCCACTGCCCTGCACTGGAAGTCATATGCTGCTTTATAAACTATTTACATACAATGGGGCCTTTATCAGCCCCTGAACAACACACTTTAGCATTCAGATCTAACGCCCTGACTTCCGCCCACCCTGGCCCAACAAAGTGCCTGTGTGCTGCATTCCCGCTTCTCGGCCCCGCACCCACTCCCACCTCCCCACCACACCCCGACCACGGGGTGCCCATGGCTCTGCCCGGCGGGACCACACCACAGACATCGCTGTGCTGGACTGGCGACCCAGGCTGTCTGGAGGTCCCTTCCCTTCCCCAGGATGCACGGCAGAGCCCAGCCGCGTGTCCATCCCGCATGGACAGCACAGGGCACTGCGGCTGGAGCAGGGGTCTGGCACTGAGCACTCCGTGGGCACCCGTGGGGCTGGGTGCTGCTGCTGTGAGTCCTGCCGTGCCCTCAAGGCTCCGCTGCCAGGGGGTTGGTGCTGACAGCAGCAGCTGTGAGGGCATTGGAACTGCCCTGCATGTGCCCTGTCCTGTTGGGGACATGGGAAAGAGTCTGCTGGAGTGACGCAGGCTGTGTGTTGGAAGAGGCTGCCCTCAGTGCTGAGCACTGTAAGGGCTCTGCTTCTCTTCCAAGATGGGCCCACTGACGCTGTTCTACTGCTTGGACTTGCTGGTGGGGGCAACAGTCCCTGTACTCACACCCCACCCCGTGGCCCTCAGGGCTGGTATCCCAGCCACACCACCACACTGTGCCCCGTTCCTGCAGAGATGGGGCCACGTCCCCTGGGGTTTGTCGCCAGCCTCCGGTGCGGAGCAGCACATCCAGTAAACCCTGCCAGCTGGGGGCTGCAGGTTGGCAGGGCAACAGTGCCATCCCAAATGCCACCTCCTCCCCTCTGCCCAGGGTGTGAGTGCCCGGAGCTGTGCAAACAGTAGCAGGCAAAGAACCTCCAGCAAAACTATGGGGAGGGCAACCAATGCCCACACTCTGCCCCTCGCCCAGCTCCCCCCATTGGGACCAGCACCACCAGCTCTGCCCTCCCTGGCCCATGGTCGAGCCCCTCTGTGACTCCCCACCCTGGCCCCTGTGGTGCTGCCCAGCTGGGGGACACGTAGCCACCCCCCCCAGTAGTACTGTGCCTTGCAGTTTCTCACCTCAGCACCTCAGGAGAAACAAAGTTCTTTGGGGATTGCAGCAGCCACTGGCGCCAACAAAGCCCTGGACTTTATACTGCCCTCCAGGACTTCACCCACCCCCCTCCCAAACAGCCTTGCTTTCCAGGACTTGCTCTACCTGGCCCTGCCAAGTAAACACTGCAGGTGTGTCCAGCCTGGACTCACCCACCAGCACCAACCACGCAGCTGAGCATCCCCCGGGGACAGCTCAGGGGCCACTGCAGCCCCAAGGCAGGGCCAGCCCCCCACGATGGTCCTGTGGGAGCTCTCTGGTCCTCGTGGCCACACTCCCCCTACTTCCAGCATCCTCTCTGCCACATTCCCTGCAGGCCAGGCACATACACCATGGTAGAGCCCTGCTGACTATCCCAGGGGACAACTCTGGGTCCCCCCAGCTCCCAGGGCAAATTGATCTGCTTTTGCAGGGTACCAGCTGGTCCCTGGGGAGCCACCAATACCCAGATTTAATGTTTACAACTGCAGCCTACGAAGGCAAACAGCCTGTAAACGATTAACCCAACCGGCCCGCTCCAAGGTCCCGCCGCCCAGCCCCCTGCGCGGGACACGGGGACCCTGCCCCTCATGCTGGGCCCCTGGGTGGGCTTCAGGAGCCTGCGCTGCACCCCATCCCCTGCGTCAGGGTGACAGTGGTGCCAGAGTCCCCCGCACAAGGACGGCAGGGTGGCACCGTGGGGCGGCTGAGGGGAGACAAGTGATGCCCCCCCAGCGGGGCGGGGGGCGGGGGGCGGTGGGCAGGGAGGTACCGGGGGTGTCCGGAGGTGCGGAGCGGGTGGGGCCGCAATCTCGGCCTCTGATAAGCCGCCTACGGCTGAGTCAGACAGAGCCCGGCGGGGAGCGGGAGCCGCCGTTCCGCGGCACCGCCCTGGCCCCGGGGCATGCCGTGGGACCGGGGGGGACGGACCCTCACTGAGGGGGCGTACGAGGGGGTGACGGGGGGCAGACTTGGGTGGGGAATGTAGACAAGGGGCTAGTGGGGCCGGGCTGGGAGGATCAGGCTGGATGGGGGGCACCGGGAGGGGAGTGTCGACGGGGACGGGCTGGTGAGCACTGGAGGATTTGTGGGACGGGCTAAGTGGGACGAAGCACAAGGAGTCTCCTGGAGGCAGGTTGGGGCGGGGGGGGAGGAGCACTGGGAGCCAGGCTAGGGGTCACTGGGGGGCACTGGGAGCCAAGCTGGGGGTCACTGCGGGTCACTGGAAGTCACTAGGAGCCAGGCTATGGGTCACTAGGGGCTTCCGGGGGGCTACTGGAAGCCAAGTAGGGGGCAGTGGGGGCAGTAGGAGCCAGGCGAGGGTCACTGGGGGGTCCGGGCAGTGCGGGAGGGGGGTGGTCGCCGGCGGTGGCACCAGGTGGCGCTGCGGGGCCGGGCCAGGGGCGAAGGGGCCGCACCTGCCCGCGGCAGCACCCGGCGGGGCTCAACGTGGGAATCCCTCTGAAAATATAATAAAAATAGAGAAAGAAAACAGAACAGAGGGAGGAGGAGCCCGGGGCGTTGCTGTCCAGCCCGGTGCCCGCCCGCTGCCTTGGCCGGGAGTCGGTGGGAGGACCAGGGGCCCCAGGGATGGGCGGGAGCACGGGCAGCCCCCTCGCCTGTGTGCCGTAGGTAAAGCTGTTGTGCAAGAGCCAGCGGTCAGGAACAGGCTGTACTAAGCAGCCGTGGCCGGCGCTGCCTCCAGTACGCAGAAAACTACCCCGTCCACGACCACGCGGACCAGAAACGCTCTCTTTGTTAATGACGTTAATTGTGAACTTAATTAGGCGTCTGAAGTTGCAGCGAAGAGGTCAAAGACGTGGGCACGCTGAACACAGACAAGCTGATGAGATGGGCAGGACTGAGCCAACATCCGGATGGCGGGACCAGGGTGACGCAGACGTTGGCACACTGCTGGGGTCAGAGATCTTGCAGCCCAGAAGTTTCATTGGTATGATGGAGGAAATCAAGCTCCACCATCACTGAAACACCTCTGCTGTCAGCAGGAAAAGAGCAGGCTTTCAGAGCCCCCTTTCCCCAGCCATCCTGCCCTGGGAAGGGTTGGCCCTATGAATAGCTCAGCCTCATCACTGGGTGACCACTGCAGTGCAGAGGCCTCTGGGCTTCCAGTCTTGGACTGACAGCAGCACAGGCATCCCTGGATCCAGGCTGCTGCTCTCAGAGAGACAAAACCCTCTGGTCTGAGTCAACTGCCAGGAAGGTCATTGGCAGTGGGTGAGCACAGAAATCCTTTGTGCTGCTGCAGCACGGGGCAGAGGGGGTTGCAGTATACGACGTAACAGCTTGTCCTGACTGCCTGTGAGTCTGCTGTCCTGTGTCCTGGGTGCATCAGGGGTGAGAGGAACAGGACCAGGACGCTGCCCCAGTGATGCTACTGTGCAGAGCAGCATCGATTCCCTCCTGCTGACTGTGGATCCTGGAGCAGCCAGGGGCCGTGTATGGGTCATTCATCCCCTCACCATACCAGAGACACCTTTGCAGTTGAGTTCTCTTACTTCTCTTTGCAGCACTAAACATGTCCCCTGAAGCAGAGGTTGTCCCGCAATTGTCACACAGATGTTAACTGCACATACCCTCTGGGATACAGTGTCCCTTGGGCTTTGCCCGGTCTCCAAAAGAAAAGCTCTTGATGGTCAAGGACACCCTGGACAGATGGCAGCCTCGGGACTTTTGCAAAGGCAAACATAATAGCAACCCGTGTTGTCTGTCACCAGCTTGCCTTGGGGTCCCAGCCGGGTTGGCCATGCTGGCACATGTGGTGGCAGACAGCAGGGGCCGTGCAAGGATGAGGAAGGGGGACAGAAGGGCAGAGCAAACCCCTACTCTGGGGCAGAAAGGTATCACCCCTTCAAGAGGGCACTAGGCACCGCAGAATGGGCAGCTGGTGGTGTCACCAGGATGGGCCTCTGGCCACCAGGCAGGGCTGACCCCGCTGTTCACCCCACAGCAAGGTGGCTGCTGTTGGAGCTGTGCTATGGAGCACCTGCATTTCCATGGAAACCTCTCCCCGTGGCCTGATGTTGGTCACTAAACAGGGGCAACTAGTGGCTGCAATGGAGGGCCTTGGTATTGCAGTCCTGGGGCTGCTGGGTGGGTTGGACCAGAGGGGTCAGTGGTTGGGGCAACTCTGAATGGGGCTGCAGGTCACGGTTCAGAGGGCTTCATGGGTGGGCAGTTTCCTTTGCCCAGAGAGCAGGGGCAACTCTGCCTGTTGGCATGGAAAAGCCCAGGGGAAGGCATCCCCATGCCCTGGGCAAGAGCCCCATCAGCCCATTAGAGTCCCGTTGTGGCTTGGCTCTATTGCAACCTGTCCCAGGCATTCCACAGCATCCCTGCCCCTGACAGCACAGCACAGCACAGCTCAGCTCGGCTCGGCTCAGCATGGCATGCTGCCTGCTTATGGCACCTTTCTCACACTCTCCATCTGCCCCATGGCAAGGGACCTGCCTCCATCCCAGACTAATGCCCCCAGGCCATGCCCACGCTGCTGCACCTCCAGCACACAGGGCGCAGGGTGGCAGGGGGTGCAGGACCTCCACAATGGGCAGCACCAGTGGTCATAGGGGGGTCCAGCACAGGTCTGGAGCACGGTGCTGAACAGGGTGATGTGCCAGTGGCGCAGCAGTGGCAAGGATACCCCGGGAGAGCAGAGCAGAGCCCCCCACCCAGCTCCCCGCACAGCCCGTCCCCCTGCCTGCCCCCGGCTCCCCTGGCTCGGGGCCTCGGCCCTGGCTCCACTGTCTGCACGCTGCCTGGAGGCGATTTGGCCCCCCCTCCCCGTGCCTGGTTTCCATGGCAACTCCAGTTGAAATTACATTAAAAAGAAATGAAACCAGCAGCTTTTCTGTTTGGCAAGTAGGGGGAGGGGAACTCAGCTGGGAAAGACTGGGGAGGGGGTGCGAAGTTTGGAGGGAGGGGGCCGTGGCACAGATGAGATCCCACATGGGGTCCCCGTGCTGGCGGTGGGGGCAGCAGGGCGGGGATATGGGGGGACACTCCCCCATCTGTGGCACTTGGTGTTGGCAACTCTGGACCGTATGGTGCTGGCTTAATGTGTGCTGCACTGGGGGTCCAGACCCTGACATGGTTAGGTGATACCAGGATCTTCCTGCTGCCTCTGTGGGGTGGGTGCCAGGGACATGGAGACCATCCAGACCCTCTGCCAGCAGGCACAGCCATGGCTGGGATGGCTCTAAGCCAGCACAGGGTACCCCACCCAGCCTGGGAGTCCCTGGCCCCTGCACGCTCCAAGAAGAGGCGAGACACACCGCTATTAAAAATATCACTTCTGTTTTATTTGGAATTTGTTACTCTGCACGGGTGACAGGGTATAAATACATTCTCCAACGAGCATCCTCACCCTCAGCCCTGTGCGGGGGGGGGGGCCGGGGCAGGGTGCAGGGCTGTGGATGTGCTGGCCCCAGGCAGTAGAGCCAGCAGGGCCATCGATGGGCTGGCCCCAGGCAGTAGGGCCAGCAGGGCAATCGATGCACTGGCCCCAGGCAGCAGGGCCAGCAGGGCCAGCCGGCACCGGTGCGTCACGGCCGCCAGCATGGGCAGCGTCTGCCAGCCGGACCGTCTTGCACAGGGACGAGATATGGTGTCCCCACAAGGACCTGTCCCTTTCTCCTGCCTCCCCAGGCCCCAGGTGCCAGTGCTCATCATGGGGGGCTGAGACTGGGGTGCCCCACGTGGGATCCCGTGCTGCTGCTTCTCCATGCCCGACTGCACCAAAGCCACTCGCCTTGAGCCACATGTGGTTCAGTGGCCACACCAGCCCAGCGGGTGCCCCAGCCCTGGCACGGGTGCTCCCAGCACCATGCAGGCTGCATCACCCTCAGAGTCCCTGCCCATGCATCTATCCCAGCTGCACGTCCCGGATGCCAGAGCTGGGGTCACCCCACAGTGGGGCCCCAGTGGAAGTAACATAGGAGGCAGAGTCGATGTTGGAAAGCAGCTCACTCTGCTCCTGTCACCCCACCCCTGACACAGGCTGCAAACCACTGCTTTTGGGCAGCGGCACGGGCAGGGAGGGCACAGCACAGCCCTGGGGCAGTGGTGAAGGGATGTGGGATGCTCCTGGAGGAGCAGGGCAGGTCTGGGGCAGTGCTCCTGGGTTCATGGGGGTGAACAGACGTTGCTCAGAGCAGGTGATGCCCACGTGGGGCAGTGGGTGGCACTTGGCCAGTGGTGGCAGTGGAGGGACCGGGGCGGAGGTGCTCGCAGGCAGGCCGTTGGATAGGCTATTTGGCTGAGATAGGTGGGCACGGGTGACAGAGGAGGGAAAATATCAAAAAATACAAAAGAGCGCGGCCCCGCAGCGCAGGAGGCACTGCCCTGCCTGGTGCCCACCCACGGCAGGCGGGCGCCATGGGGGGCCGGCACCGTGCGCACACGCTGGCTTCTAACTGGCTTTTTATTTTATATCAAGAACACTTGGTTTTAAAATCTTTACAAAGGACAAAACGCGGCGACTCCGTTAGTGTGTAAAGAACTAAAGATCTGCTTTAAAAAACGTCTCTGCAAAGAGAAATGACTGACACAAAAGAGATTCTCTGCAGCGCAAAGAGGGGCAGAGGTGCCAAGTCTCCAGCCCAGAGCCCCACTCCCAGGGTCCCTGAGCCCCGGCACCGGCCCCAGCGCCCGCACCCAGCACATGGCCAGGTCCCCGGACCCTGCCCATTCCCTCTGCCTATAGCACCATGGCCCAGGGCCACTTCTCAGCACAGTGAAGGAGCCTTTTCCAGGGCTGCCAAGCTGCCTGGGGATGCCTGGGCACTGGCCGAGAGGGATGCCCAGTCCCACTCCTCGTCAGTCCCAGGGTGCTCAGTGGGCTTAGCGCCGGGGATGTGATCGCCCCACTGGGAGGCACAGCCACAGCACGGGGAGCCCCATGGCCATTGACAGTGGGGTACCCCTGCCCGCCTGCACGGGTGCAGGGTTACACTGCGTCCCTCCTGCACCCCACTGGCGTCCCGGGGCAACCCGCGGGGCCCTGAGGCCGGGAGAGTCAAAGCACTTCTCAAAAGTTAGATAGGAACAAAAGAAAGCGCCGGGGCCACACCGGGACCCCACAGGTCTCTGGGCTGGGAGCTGCCCCGTCCGTGGGTGCTGCCCCTCCGTCCGGGGGCTCTGCCGGCCCCGCCGCTCCCTCTGCCAGTGTCTGCTGCGTGTGTGTGCGTGCGTGCATGCGTGTGCGCCGGCGGCGGGCAGCTATACCCTGGTGGTGGAGTGTGAGTGCGGGAGCCCCGTGCTGTTGAAGCCGGCGGTGAAGGTGTTGTAGGGGTGCAGGGTCTGCAGCCCCACCAGCGAGTTGGGGATCATGGTGATGGTGTTGGGGGTCATAAGCGGGATGTCGTCCGGCGAGCGGCGCAAGGTGAGGGTGTAGTCGGGCAGAGCAGCCAGGCGCAGGGTGTCATGGGACGGCACAGCTTCGCACTCGTGGTGCCCCTGGCTCACCTGCAAGGAGGGCATCTCCTCATCAGGTGCGTGGGCGATGTCGTTGGCGGCGCCACGCTGGGGGCTGGGCTGCCGGTGCGTGTCCTGCCGGCGCTTGTCCTTGCGGTAGTAGAGGGCGGCGAAGGCCAGCACGTTGAGGAAGAGGAGGGAGGCGCCCACGGCGATGGTGACGCTCAGTTCAGTGGAGTAGTCGCGGGGGCTCTCGAGCAGGGTGCCCGCCTCTTGCTCTGGGCTCCACTTCTCCTTCCCGTTCTCGCTGTTGTAGGCAGGGGAGATGGCGGGGCGCTTGGTGGTCCAGATCTTGCTGTTGGGCCGGCGGGTGATGTGGGAGTTCTGCGTGGTGTCGGGTGGTGGCACTTTGGTGGTGGTGGAGGTGTAGTGGAACATATCATGCAGGTTGTACAGGTGGGGAACCAGGTGCTTCCAGAAAGCCACCTTGGTGGCCCGGTAGTGGTCACGTACCCGTGGCTTCAGCCCGATGTGCAGGTACAGCTGGTCGCGGGGGTTGTACTTGGACCAGGCCACCTCCTCAAACCGGTTGGCCTTGGTGTGGATGAACTTGGTGTCCTGGGGGACGGGCTTGTTGGGGTCCCTGTGAAACACAGGCAGAAAAGAACTAGCACTGGGAAAAGCCAAAGAAGCAAGGAGGGAAAGCTGGGTGCAGAGATGGAGGCTGGGGACACCTTTGCCAGACGTGGCACAGGGTGTGCTGGCAAAAGGTCCTGCATGTCTGGGCAGCACCCCAACCCTGGGTCAAGCCTCACCCATGACAACCACAGCCAATCAGCCTCCCCACCCCTGCGTTCGGCTGGGTTCTGTCCCAGGGACTGCCCATGCTCTAAGCTTCTTGCTTTGTGGTTGAGGCCATGACCCCAGTGAAGGTGCAGCACACAGACCTCTGGGCTCAGGGGGCTCAGTGTCCCACATCAGGCATGACAACCCCCCCACCACCACAGCACAGTCTCGAGGGGTACAGCTGCAGTGAGTGCAGACCCCCAAGGCACAGCACCCATCCCCACTCACCCTGTCTTGGCGAAGTTGGTCCAGTAGGTCATCACCACGGCGCTGAGCATGACGTCGTTCTTGGAGAAGTTGCAGGGAAAGAGGTCTGTGGGGCCAATCATGGGGATCCCAAACACGTAAGGCACCTCATCCCCGTGGGCTGCGTCGGACCACGCAGGTTTCATCAGGCTCTGGCAGTGGTGGTAGAAGGCGTAGAAGTAGGTGGGGGAACCGTAGCGGGCGTGCAGGTCAGCTGTCACCACTGATGGCTCTACCCACTGGTGGTCAGTGAAGAGGGCCACCAGAGTCTTGCGACGTGTCTCGGGGTTGTCCCGGTCAGCCCAGTCTGTGTACATGAACTTGATGGTCTCCCTCAAGGTGTCCTTGCCCTCGGGGTATCCGTACAGGTTGTCCACAAAGTTGGAGACTGAGTAGTCAAAGTCACTGCCTGAGACGCCATCCTCGGGGTCCACCACACCCTCCACGAACTTCAGCCCCTCACCCTGGTTGACCCCCAGCATGATATCATAGTTGAGGAACTCGCCCTGCTCCATCAGGATCTCTGGGTCATCCGGGATCACATCCCCATCAATGACCGGCCCGAAGGCCACATGGTAGCGAGCCGGCTGGATGTCTTGCTCTACCAGCTCCTTGGCACTCTTCTGCCGCAGGCAGTCCACCATGTCCACCGTGTCCAGCACATTGCAGCCCACCTTGTCGGCCAGCATGCTGGTGTACTTCACGGGCTGGTAGTTCACCGCCCAGCTGGAGAGCGCGGAGCCGCTCTGGATGATGGCCCTCTGGAAGAGACCTGCAATACAGGCAAGGAGTGGAGGAAGCTCTCAGCAGGGTTCCAACGCCCCAGCACTGCAGCGCAGGATGCAGCATGGAGAAGGCATTGATGCTCTTGTATCCCTGCAAGGACCCAGCACTTCAGCCCACACCTGGCCTTGACCTGGGCTTTGCTGCTGAGCCAGGCTCACACAGGGGTTCAGCTCAGGGCCACTGCGAGAGTGGCAGGGTGACAGCTGGGCATGCAAGTGGGGGGTTGCTCCTGGCAGCAAGCAAGGGCTGCTGTGCTCCCTGAGGATCCCATTGCAGGGGATGGCCCAGCATCTTTCTGTCCTGGTGGGGGGAGAAGAGGAGCCATGGCTGCATCACAGCCTGGCCTTGCAGAGCAGCCCATGCTGCCCCAGCCACCCCAAGGACATGTTGCCTGAGCCCCCAAGGGGCACACACTGTCCCTGGCTCAGCACTATCCTCCAGCCCAGATTGGCACCTGCTTCACTGAGCAGTCAGGCTGCGGGCTGGCAGCAGTGGGAGGGTTAACGCCTGCTAGAGGGCACTTAACCCTGCGTGTCCCACCCCAGTGCTTTGTCAAAGTCCCCCTCGACCCCCTCCCTGCTGCTTCCTGCCCAGCTGGGGCTGCTCAGTGCCAATCCGGCCCTGCAGGAGCACGCTGCCAGATGCACAAAGAGGGCCTTTCTGCCACCAGGAACACAGAGGGAGTGGACTTTCGCCCTGGAAAACGAGGCCACAAAGGCCCTGGCCCAGGCAGAGAAATGCGTGGCTTCGCTCCAGTCCCATGTCAATGGTGCTTGTGCTCAGAATACAAAGGGTGGTGAGGAAGCAGAGCCTCCAGGGCTGTGAAAGGCAGCCAGTCCGGGGTGCGCCCCAGGGTCCCTGCTCTCCGACCAGCTCTCTTCTGCACCCCAAGTGCTGCCTGCACCCCAAGTGCTGCCTGCACCCCTGCCAGACCCCAGCACTTGCTCACCACAGGGGAATTTTTAAGGTGATCCCTGAATGGTGCTGGCACAACACTGTGCTAGTCTTGGGGCTGTCCCCAGCACCCTGAAGCGCAGAGAACCTCTCTGCAACCAGGGCTGTGCTGCTCTGCAGGGAAACATGCACCTTCCTGCAACAGAAGTGTTCAGAGGCTCCTGGCTCCTGGCCACCATGTCCATAGCTCTTGTCTGCACGCACAGTCCTCGCTCTGCCAAGTACCTGACGTACAGTCCCATGCACTGGGACAAAGAGAAGTCACAAGCTCTGTTTGTCACCTCCCAGTGCCCTAGAAAGCCATACCCAGCCTACAGGCTGGAGACTGGCCATGGGATTGCTTGCTCTGCGCCATCGTCCATGTGCCAAGGAGCCAGGATGGGTTATCCTGGCTCTCAGGAGATGCTGTCCCAGCAGCAGCCATACTGTCCCTGCCAGCAGCATCACTTCCCAGACAGACCCACTAGGCTGGGCTCTGCCCCTGCCTGGCGAAGTATGGGGCAGCTGATGTCACCAGCAGCTGGTCATGTCCCTGATGGAGTTCCTTTACTGTGTCTCTCCATGGCCATGTCCTGATCCAGGAGGACCCAGGAGTCTGCAAGAGTCTAGACTCATCACATCCTCCCCCTCCATGCCAGCACCTGGCTGAAGCTCCACAAGCACCCTGGACCTCTCCAGCCTTCTGGGGCCCAGGCAAGGTGATGGAGGTCTGCATTTTGGTCACTGGTGTGGAATCCACCTGCCTGCAAGGGCTGAGGCTGGCAGGGAAGACGTGCATCTCCCAGGCAGCCAGACACTGTGCTATACCAAGCCTCCAGTGTCTGCCTCTTGCAGCACCTGGCAGAGCAGGCACAAATCAGCAGCTTCATTAATCGCTTTTGATCACTATGAGTTTTATTTTGATGCAATAAAAACAAACCCACCTGGTCTGCAGACTGCATCTTAGCACGGCTCCCCTGCCGTGTTCCAGAGCCAGCTACCTGTCCTTGGGGAGATGGGTGCTCTGGCACAGAGGGTTTTTGAGGTAATTTTATGGCCATTTGGTTTTATGAGACACTGGTTGCAGCACTGAGCACTCCCCTCACACCTTGCAGCATTTACAGCTCCCCTGCCACATCTGTGAGGGTGCTGAGCACACAGCACCACTAAGACTCAGGGGAGACCACACCACGGGCATTGGGGCTGGACAGGGCAGCAAAGGATACAGGGTTTAGTGGCAGAAACAAGGTTTAGGCATTCAGGTGCAGGATTTAGTGGCAGAAAGCATAGTGTCACCTGGAAAGTACTATACTAACAGGAATATTTTTTGTGGCTGGAAAGTCACAAGAAGCAGCCCCTCCAATCCACCCTCAGACTCTCTCCATGCTGCTCCCTCCATCCTGGGCCACCTGGGCAGCCAAGCACACAGTCCTGCACTCCTGTGATGGAAAGGAGCACCCTAAGAAACACTGTGAATACATCACACATAGTGTTCCCCCACCAGCGTTTCACACTCAATATGGGCAGAGAAAAGACTCTTTCTTTCTGTGGCAGCTTTCAGCCTGCAAAAGACTTCCCATCATCAGCCACCAGCCCTGCTGAGGTTCTGAAGGTCTCCATTCCTGTGTGATACCCAGGCTGTTGAGCAGGGCTGCAGCTCCTCGCATCAGCTTCAAGTGCAATGTGGTGTGTGTCTCTCAGGTGCAGACTCACACCCATGTCTCCTGCCCACACGTGTCCCTTTCTCCCCTGCATCACACTTGGGGACATGGCACTGGAGAGAGTTGCACCCTCATATAAAGTCTGTGAGCATGTCCTTGGCAGGCTGGTCCCCCGTGGATCACATTCAGTTCAGGCTTTGCTCCTACAATTTCCTTTAGGAAAATTATCAAGAACCTCTAGTCCCACGATTAATTTTTTTCCCCAAATGCTTGATGTAAATGTCTTTGCAGGTGGTTTACATGCACTTGCTCTTATTCCAACACAATCTTTTAGCATAAATAATTCCTTACTTTATCTAGAGTAAACATTCTGCTATATTTACAGATATCAATCATTCTACTTCACCTGTGTTTTGCTAGTCACAGCACTTTCACCTCTCCCAGTCTCACAAGATGGGGCCCTCCATCCCTCCCCAGGCTCGGGTCTGTTTTCCCTTCTATTCCAGTGTGAATGCCTTTCCTAGCACTGAGATCCATGTTCCTGGTGCCCTGCATGATGCCCTACCCCCCCTCCACATCTGCACATGGGTGAGCCTGAGCACCGGGGCAGGATGCCATGGGAGGGGTCCCCACCTCTCCCCATGCCTGGTTGCTGGCCCCAGGCTGCAGCTCTGTGCACCGGGAGCTCCATCTCTGGCTCCCACGTGCTCTGCCACTGGCCTCTCCCTGCCCAGGATGAGAATGTTTTGTTTCCCAGCCCTGGGTCAGGCTCTCACCAGCAACTAATTAGAAAGCAGCTCTGGCTTTGTTAGGCTGGGCAGCAGGACCTGCGTGGGCTCCCTTCCCTAGAGTAGCATCAGCGGGGTGTTTGCTCACAGTTGCAGCATCCCAGGCACAGCTGACACCTACCTTCAGAGTGGTGGGAGAGGGTGAGCAGGCTGACACAGGAGGCACCGATGCCGGAGCCGAAGACCGTGATCCGCAAGGGATCTCCCCCAAAGAAGGCGATGTTCTCGCTGACCCAGCGCAGGGCCTGTATCTGGTCCAGCAGCCCATAATTGCCCTTGGCAGCCTGGTCCCCTGTGCTCAGGAACCCTGAGGGCCAAGGGGAGCCCAGTTAGGGATGAGGAAGCAGGGAATGTCCTGACCTCCCACCCCCCTTCCCCAGGCATAGGGGGGCTTCTATGGGACCCTGTACCACTACAACATGAGACCCCACTACCAAGAGAGTCCTAAGCTGGAGCAGGGACACCTCGAGCTCCAGCCACCCTCTGCACAGCAACGAGGGGCAAAAGGCTGAGAGTGCAGCTGCAAGCCCCGGGGAGCCTCTTCAGCCAACAGTGGGCACAAAGCTCTGTCCTACCCATACCACCGCCTGTGCTGAGAATGGCTCAAGACAGCTCACACATGCTCCAGGGAAAGCTGAGAAAGCATCAGTGGCTGCAGGAAGGCCGAGTGCCTGCACAGCCAATGCTTTCCACGGACCAGCATGGACTGGAGGAGGCCCTGTAAATATAAGGAGGTGGGCTGAGCTGAGAGGAACTGACTGCAGCTTAAAATACAAAGGCTCTCAGTGAGGAAGAAGCTGAGAAGTTTTCAATAGTGAAGGGAACACCCAAGATAAGTTATCATCACTTTTGTTTGGTTTGACTCTAAGCAGGAAGCCAAAACCATGGCCCCAAGTTAAAATCCAGGCAGGTAATCCCAGCACACAGGGAGCGGCCCCAGTGTTGTGCTGGCACTTGGAGGTGGTCTGGCTGGGTGTGGTGCACCACTTCATTAGACTTAACTCTAATGTCATATTGTGACTCACGTCCCTTAAGTTTGCACCTATTCATCTTAAAGGGCCAATTTTTAATTTAAAAGGTCTTGAGTAGGTTTATTTTTACTGAAAATCTTATTTTCTACCAGGTAACTGTCATCTTCTGCAAGAAACTCTGGGGTCTAAAGGCTATCAGAGGGATGTGCTGTCTCAGGTACCAGCTGGGAGCCCAGCTGTCAAGGGAGAACACCATGCTAGGCTGGATGGCTAGTAAGAGAGCCAGTCCTGACAGCAGCTTGGCTGGGAAGGAGCTTTTCCCAAACCTTTGCACCCCTTGTTCTCCCTGCTGCAGCAGTGTGCTCCACACAAGTCCCCTGTGTCTCAGCCCCTGGGGGCTTCTGCTGCAGCAAGCAGGGGACTGCACTGCCTTTTGACCATGTCCTCATTCTGCCTCTCTAGGTCACCAGTGCTTGTGGAAATGGGACTGCTGCCCTCCTCTGTATGGCACCTGACACCCTTCTGTGGTCCCCTCTGCAGGCAGCCAGGCCATGGTGGGTGGTTGAGGGGGTCCCAGCAGCTCAACTGGTTTGGAGAACAGTCTGTGCCCAGGGAGGGAGAGCTGCCAGGTCCCCAGGACAGCCAGGCAGTACCCGCTGGCACCTCAGCGCTCTGAGCCCTCTCAGGAGGAGATGCTGGGTAAACACATTTTTTATTCATTTAACCACAAACCAATATTTGCTTTCAGTTGAGCCAGTTTGTGTAAATGAGCCGGGGGGGGCCGGTGCCAGGACCCAGACTGCGCTGCCACCGCGTGCTGGGGGTTCTGCCACGTGGCACCGCGCTTGGCAGCCGGGGCGGAAGGCAGGGGCCGTGCCCGCAGCGCATCCCGCCGGCCCCACGCCCCCCTCCGCCCCCTTCCCGGGCTGGTTCAAGCCCGGTCAGACACAGGGGTTGTCCCACTGCCCGGCTGTGCTGACGGCACAGCCCACGCCGGCCAGCTCATACCGAGCACTCCAACGCGGTAGTTCAGGGTGATGACAATCACGTTCCCGTAGCTGGCCAGGATGCTGCCGTCTATCATGTTCCCCGTGCCCTCCATGTACGAGCCACCGTGGATATACACCATCACCGGCTTGGCCCCGCTGTCCCGGATGTCTGGAAGGAGAGGTGGTTAAACACAGGACCCCACCGACGGCCGCAGCACCCTGCCCGACAGGCAGACCAAGTACAAGGGCAATGCCAGCTGCCAGGACCAGGGAGGGGGCTTAGGAGCCAAAGCCAGAGCTCTCCTGGGGGCCACAGCATGGACCTCCAAAGCCAAACACCACTAAACCAACCCTGCCAGCCCTTCTCCGGGTGGTGGCAATCACTGCACTGTCCCCACACTGCTGTCCCCTCGGGGGTCCGAGCACAGTGTAGGGACGGTGCTGGCTGGACCCCGCTGCTCTTCCCCAGAGCTGGGCTCTGGCATCGTGCGGGAGCCAGACCAGCTCTGTTGTGGGTGGGAGTTGCAGAGTCCAGCCCTGGGATGCAGCCCCACATCCTGCCTTTGGCTGGACCCAAGTGCTCCGGGAGTCCTGGAAGCTGGCATTGTGGGGGGGGGCAGGGATGGGGGTGTGCAGGACCTAGAAGGTGGGGGGGCCACTGACGTGTGCTCCAATGTCTCACTCTCTCACCCTCCCTTCCCATCCCCCTAGGAAGGCAGAGACCTGCCTGCTGTCAGGGTGTGAACCCATGGCACCCCAGTGCCCAGACACAGACATGGTGATGAGGCAGACGGTGTATGCACGTGTGTGTGTCAGGGAGGTGAGCACAGCATCTGGACAAGGACAGGGATGAGGCATGGAGTGAGGATGGGGAACAGGACCCCGAGGGCCGGGGAGGAAGGACTGCAGGAGCCTAGGGGATGGTTTGCAGCCACGCTCCCTCTCTCAACTGGTCCTGTCCAGGGGACATCCTGCCCCTTCTGCCTCACTGGCCTGTGATCCCTCATGGAGTCACATCCATCCACGGGGGAATAACACCCATGCTTGGGCTCCTGGTGCATCTCGCCCATGTTACACAGAGGAGGTGGTTGCACCCGTCATGGACACAGTGCCAGGTCCCAAATGCCTGTGCTGCCCAGCCCTGTGCTGGGCTGGCGAGCCAGCACTGATGGACTTTGCCCTCCCTCGTGCTCTCCCGCACCCAATACTTTGCTTGGCTGGGCTGGCAGTGCCTGCTTGGCCCCAGCTGCCCCAGCCAGCTGCTGCTCCCTGCCTGCCTCCCTGGCTGCCAGCCCCCCCCACAGTCCACGCAGGGCTGCACTCCGGGGGCACAGCCACACCATCTCAGTGCTGGTGCCCAGCTGGGGTGGACATGCTCTCTCACACCCACCTAACCTCTGCCCACGCCCACTCCTCCCTGTGGCTTGCCCATTGCAGGGGGGCTGCAGGCCAGGCTGATGGTTACCTGTGGCCATCCTCACCTTCAGCTGTGGCCCATGGCATGGCTGAAGGAGGCCTCCCTTCCCCACAGAAAACCTCTTCCCTCCAGGAGAATGAGGCTATGCCAAAAGCAAAACCTGTGCTGGCTCTTTTCCTATCCCCAGGATGTAGCCAGTCAAATGCACAGACCAGAGGAGCAAAAAATCCTGGCAGCTCTTCCAGGACAGACATCGCCTGTGTGGCAGAGCTGCATCAGGACAACTTTTTCCAGGGCCACCTGCTTGAAATGTGAAGGGCAGGAACATCAGTGCCTGTGCCCATGTCTTCTCCCTGCTGCATGCTCCCACTGACACACAGAGGGACATCCTTGCAGCAGAATGTCAGCAATGTACGGAGATGTACCAGGGAATAAACAGCTCCTAATTGCTGCAGCACAGTTTGGTGTGTTGGGATTTAGCACACTCAAGTCACTTAGGCTGAATGCCAGTTTACACCCTGGTACAAGAGATCCTGGGGCACAGGTTAGTGGGAGTAAACGACCGGGGTTTAGTACTGCCAAGGAAAAAGTTTTTCATCTATTTCCCAGATCCTAAAAGCCATCTGCCAGGCTGTGTTCTAGCTGCCCTGGGCCTTCTGCACACCCTGAGGTTTTACTGTCCTCAGCACATTCGAGCTGCACCCTGGCCAAATCTTCCTCCTACCCCTCTTCACATCTCTGCAGCCAAACACACCAGCTCCGTACCCTGCAGATGAACGACCCCGTTTTACTAAAAATAGCTTATCCTGCAGCTTGCTTAGCCCTGGTGTACATCTAGAATCACATCTGCTTGAAAGCCCACTTGCTCTGCCTTGACTGGTGCTGATGCTCTGCTTGCAAGCAAGACCTCGCTCCCACTGGGTGAGGAAGTAGAGAAGTTAACAGAAACCAAGTGGACCTTGGGTCTCCTGGGCGTGGCCAGATACCCTTTGAGTGCCAAGGGTTCAGGCTGCTGGCACAGCCACCCTGGGTTGGTGCCCGTGGCGGGACCAGGAGAGTGGAGGGGGAGGTTGTTGGCTTCCAGCTGCACTTATCCAAACGGCTCCGGGGGGGATGAGGCTGGAGGTGGGATGTGACCGGGCTCAGGGTGAAATGGGCCCAGGTGCCCGAGGGCTCCTCTCCTCCCAAGCTGCCATGCTTCCTCCCTGCACCTCGCTCAAACTGAGCAGGAGCAAACTTCTCCTAAGGCAGAAAAAAACCCCACGAGCTTTCCCCCGCCCTCAGGAGGAGGGGAAGGTCCTGGGTGCCCTGCACAGCCGGCCAGCCTGCCCCCCACCCCGCGCAGCTGCCTGGCACGGCAGACAGACACACACAGGGCTCCCTGGGGGTGGCAGCGGATGGCGGGCAAACGGAGCTGCTTTGCGTGTCATGCAGTGGCAGCCTCGAGCACAGAAATACCTTCGTCTTCATCACCGTCATTATCCGCTAAGTCCTCGCCCTGTTTCTTAGCGCTGGCTCCTAGGGACCAAACACGAGGAGACAGAACAAAAAAAGGAAAACGAAAGGAAATAGAAACAAAACAACAAAAAGGAAAAGAAAAAAAAGAAAAAAAACACAACAGAAAAAAAAAGAGAATTCAAAAATAGCATGATAGCAGAGACGGTGGGGCCAGGCCTGTGCCCCACAGCACTGCTGGCTACTCACACTGCACCTCTCCCAGAGCCAGGGCAGTGTAGGGCACGGGCAGGACTGCCCCGGGAGCTGCGCCAGGATGCCACTTCACCTGGACCCCTTCCCAGATCCTCCCTGGGGAGGGCCAGCGTGGCAGGGAAGAGGCGAGTGGGGCTGTGGCAGTGTCAGCTCTGGTGGTGGATCAGTCTCTCAAAGCACTTGCGGATCCTCCTGCATCCCCTCAGCTCCCTGCTCCAGGCAAGGCTCCCTCTCCTACCACCCAGGTGCAAGCAGGAGCCCTGTTCCTAGCTCTGCTGCCACTGGGGACAACTGTCCTCTGTCACCAGCAGAGCTCACACAAAGGGTTGCCCTGCATGGCCACTGACCACCAGGCAGGGTCCTGCCCATCACCCCCAGGTGGTGCATGGCCCCTTGTTGTGCCTGGCACAGCAGTGTCACCAACCACTGGAACCACCACACGAGTCCACCACAGCAGCTGCAGGGAGCCCTCATGACAGGGGCCACCCTGTGCTGCTCAGCTCCGTCCTGCACCAACTCCCTTCTTAAAAGACTCATTGCCTGTTTCACTGAGGATTGCGAAGGCACCAACCAGGGTGACCTGACCAAGGCAGAACCCTGAACATATTGGTTTCTGTAATGTCCTGAACACCTTACATTGCGTGGGCAGCCCGGCAGCCCCAGCCCAGCACTGTGGAATGCTGCTGTGGATGGTTTGCAGTGAGCACGGCACTTCCCGAGCTCCGTGCAGCCAGTGGGAGCCAGGAGAGGTGGCCTGTGGGCTGGCAGGGAGCAGAAGTGTTGCAGATCTGTACCAAAGGTCTGTTCCTGCAAAGGACTGCCTGTTCATGTGGGCACAAAGGCGAGTGGTGCCATCCCTGTGCCCTGGAGCCCAGAATTTCAGGAAGAGGCTGTGCTCTCCATATCCCCTCAGAGCTGCAGACCAGCACCTGCAGTCCTCTGCTCCCTAATGCACGCAACAAAAAGAAAGTTCCTCAGGTGATGGTGAGCTCTGGGGTGACAACAGGGTTTCCCCCAGGCAGGACTGCCCAGTGACTCTCCCCTAAAACACAGGGCTCCAACATCCCTCCAGGCACACGGCTGATCCCAGGGTCCTGCTGCTGCCACCAATGGGCCCCATCAGCACCACAGCAAGGGTTTTGCACAGCCTGCAGTAAGGCTCCCACAGGCAAGGGACAGCCCTGTGGCTGCATGGAACTATGAGACTAAAAGCACAAAACTGGCCAGGAAGACAAAAAACAGGGAGTTGTTCTCACTGTCACTCTGGGAGTGGCATTCTGCAGGTGACACGGGATGTGGATAAAAGAGATGGCAACATGGAGTGGGACAGTATTTGAATTTAAAAGGAGTCTGTTATGGGGGATTAAGAGGTCTGAAATGGCCATGAGGCAGCTCCATTGGGGCAAGAGGCTTGCAGAATGCCTTAAGCAGCCATGACCTGCTGGAGAAAGTCAGGAAAAGCAGCAACAGGAAATGTAGAAAAATCTAGAAGGCACGAAAAGTTTGCAGAAGGTTGGGTCACACAAATACCAGGAGTAGAGGCATGACAGGAGCTACAGCAGTATCCCAACACGTGAAAGGCTACTGTGAGGTGGTGAGGTGGAAAAGCAAGTCCTTCTCTGCTGCACAGAGCACAGGCAACTCTGAATTTACATGAGGTAGAATGAGAAGAAAACCTTCCTGGCAGAAAGGACAGGAAAGTTCTAGAAGAGGCAATCTGGGGATGTGTTTAAGACCAGGTGAGACACACCGCCAGGAAGAGGCGAGGTAGAGTTGCTCCTGCCCAGGGCAGCCATGGATCAGCTGTCTCCTGTGCCATCCTGATCTTCTCCAACTCAGAGTTCACCTCCCGACCTACCTCCGTTGTGCTCCAGCCCCGCCTCCTCACCTCCTGCTTCACCACCCAACCACCCCCTGAGCATCTCACATCATTCTCCTCTTTTCACCCAGCACCACGCCCCATCCCTGTCACCTCTTGCCCCAGCATCCCCCCCTTCCTGCTGCCTCCTTCCCGCTCTCCCTCCCCAGCCCACCCCCCAGCTCGGCCGGGCGCGTGCGGCTGCTCGGCCTCTCTGCAGGAGGCTGCAAGCTTGACCTGCTGCATCTTCATTAGGAAGAGCTGCAAGCCCAGAAAGCACTTAAATGACAAAGTACTCATGCAGTATTTGCTAACTGGTGCTACGTGCCAACCTCTTGGTACTGCTAAGGGATAGGGATTTTTCTCTAATGATGACCACAGGCAGTAAGCCTTCATCACACCGTGCTGCAGAGCTGGGAAGCTGATCACAGGCAGCTGGAGATCATTTTCCACTGCCAAAGGCCCTGGTGCTTTTAAACCCCTGAGAACAGCCAGGCTGCAGCCCTCCAGCCTGGTCTCCTTTAGGGGGCAAAGGTCTCCATGAAGATGAGGGTAGAGGAATCAGCTATAAGGACCTGTCAGGCTGTAAGAGAGGGCAGTGGATAACATCTCTATGACCTGAGCAACTGTTCTGGCTGATGAGGGAGGGATCCAGCTGGAGACTGCTGCTGCAGAGCTTAGGGATGGCTGGGACAAGCCTAAAGCACCTTGAGCTTCAGGCGCCACAGAAGAGATGGCAGAAAGCAGCACTTGGGGAGCTGAGCAAAGCAGGAGCACAGTGATGCAGGCCAGGGCAGAGGGGAACAGCAGGGGCATGTGTGTGGCAGAAGCAAAGCACGAGCCTTACCCATCAGCAGGAAGGTTCCAGGCTGGCTGGGGTTATGGCCAACACAGACTGTTGTGACCAAGTGGGCTTTTTACCTCTTGCTGCAATGTTCACCTTCAGCACAACCCACCGATGCCCCACAGGTCGTGAGAGCAATCACAGCTTCACTTCCCTCACCCACCCCTTGCACTTTGCTCCAATATCTCCTTCCACTGTCTGTTGACATGTTCAGGGACACCCATCCCAGGAGATCTTCCTCTGCACTAACAAAGGCCACCCTGCAGCACCTGCTCTCATGGGGATGGGCTAAAGCCTGTGGATTCACAGCTGGAAAAACCAAAAAGGCTCGTGGCTCATTCTCCTTACCCATCAAAAACACCCTCCACTAACCCAGTGTAAATGTCTGTTGTGCCACTTCACTTTAAGCTGACTGCAGAGTGACATTGTTCAGGCCGATAGGAGGATGCATACGCTCTTATCTAAAGGCTCTAGAAAGATTTAAGTTCAAGTTCAGTAAGAAACAAAATCACTTCCCCCAAAACAGGGCCATCCACACTGGATTTATGCTATCTTAAGTAAACCATACCAACAGCACTGACACCAGTGCAAACAGGGATAAAGGAGGGTGAGGAGCCTGAGTCCTTGGAGGCTTCATTCTCACCATGGTGTGGTTAACACAAGAGCAGGAGCCTGAGCTGTCATCTTTCCAGATCCAAAAGTCTGTTCAGGGTGCCTGTAGGCAGCTCCAGCATCCTCTCCTCCGTGCAAGTGGGGCACCCACTCCCACAAAACAGCCACGATGCCTCAGGGAGCAGGAGCTGTCTGATGGCTCCGTGCACCCAAAGGTGCACCTGCCGCTGGCCACACCACCTCAGCTGCTTCTCCACGAGTGACAGGGGACTGGACCAAGACTGATGCAGCTGTTGAACTTGCTGCTGCACAACCCCACAGGAAGGGGCAACTCTGCTGGGACCTTCCAGCCACCAGCCCTTGCTCCAGGACTGCAGCATACCTTGGTGCTGCCCAGCCCCTCCCTGTCCCGGAATGATGCAGAGGAGTTATTTCCATCCTTGAGAGGACTCGGTAAAAGCACTGCATCTTCTCACGCTCTGCTGCCTCCACCAGCACAAACACCTACCCTCACCTTTGCAAATCATTCCCCGGAGTGGAAGCAGAGCACCAGGGCGGTGGTCTGCTCAGCCAGCTCTGCAGAGCAGCAGCCTTTGAGGGGGCTGGGGAGAAGCTTCCAGCAAGGGAGCACTGCAGGGAAGCCTCAGCCAGTACTCGGACAAATCCCCTTCTTGGAGAGCAGTGGAGAAGCCACGACGCTTTTCCCGCAGAGCAGCCGAAGCACATCCTGAGCCCAGGAGCTGCTGGGAGCTCCAGCCACCCTCACACAGCAGAGGAAGACGCTGGACCTGCACATTTGTCTCTGCAGCATCGCAGGCTCTGCACAGCCCCAGCCAGAGAGATTTGGGCAGTTGCTAATGAAAACCGGGGAGGGCTGCTAAGTGCAGGGCAGCCACATTTTTTTCCCCTCCAAAAATGACATCCACCTCCTCATGCCCTGCAGCAAGGCTTGCCCAGGCTGCTGGTGAAGGGAAGGGAAAATTATCCTGGCACCTGCCACAGCCAAGCACAGGCTGGAAGTGTTGGCACAACAAAGCAAAGGGCAGAGCTGCATTTTGCACATAGGTACTGTATGGTGTGTGTGTGTGTGTACATGGTCTTAGGGTGGGCAAAGGTTATTTTCACAGCAAAACCTGAGCCTCAGCGCTGTCAGCTCCCCTGGCACTGTGCATGGCTAGTTGTTCTCAAAGCACCACTGGCCTGTCTTGCTCCCAACATGTGTGGAGGAGACTGGCATTTAGGAAATTTCCATGCAGGAAATTACTGTGGGCAACTGGGCAGGGAAACAGGGGTGTTCTTCTGTCCCAGAGATAAACTATGATAAATTCTCAGACCTCCGTCTGCTATGAAATACATTGAGCTTAGGGGTGGCAGAAATCATGAAAACTGCAGTAAGGTGGGAGCATTTTCAACCACCAAAATACTGTTCTGCAAGAGGAGAGCTCATCACTGTTGATATGTTGCCTTAGAAATTATAATCATGAATATTCCAGAATGAATATTCCAATCTTCAAATTTTCAGCCCAAGGAAATCAGCACTGCAGGTACATTATCCTCACCCCAAACATTACTAACTCAAGACATACGATAAGAGGCGGAGGAGCCTCTGTGTCTCATCACAAGTGACTCAATTAATTCAAGCCAATGGCCACCAGAGCCTGGCTGGAGCTGAAGAGCACTGCCAGTGTCTGGGTGCTTTAATTCCTGGCACGTCACACCTGGATGCCCAAATGGCCAGCACAGGGGATCCGCTGGTCCATCCAGCAGAGCCTAGTGGGGGCAGTGGGAATGTCCCCCAACAGCTCCACAGGAGGTAGCCAGAGGCAACTGCAGATGGACTGCAGAGAAACCCTGCCCGTGAGCAGTGCCAGTGGGAAGGGAAAACCAGATGAGTACACCCAAGGTGTTTGGCCATGCCTTATATTGTCCCCTTCTCCAGCCATAACCTGAACCCTACTTCCCTGGCCCTGTCTATCAGGCTGGGGGTGGCAGGGGTCTGCCAGCCCTGGCAGCCGGTGGGAGGGCCGGGAGAGGAAGCGCTTTGAAGTGGCTGGTGATCACTGGCACAGCCGGCTCCGGAGGCAGCGTGCAGAGACTCCCTAATGCGCCAGCCCTTTCAGGGGCAGCCTTGGCACTCAGAGAGATGGCGTGTGAATAGCCAGGACAGCAACAGGAAAAGCAAAGCAAAGAAACCAAACAACAGAACTGGGGGAAACGGCTGGAAGGAAAGCGCTCCCCAAACCTCCAAGCCCAGCTGCACTGGCCCCGACAAACCCAGGGGTGCAGGGAGGCAGAGGTCGGGATGCAGGGACCCTGCTGCCACAGGATACCCAGGACAGCAGCCTGTGCCGGCAAGACACCCTGTACTGAGCCTTTCAGAAGAGCTTGGCTGCCTGACTGTCCCCACGTTCATCTTTGGGATGCACAGAGCAGCCAGCTCTCCCTGTCTGCAAGGGGGCTGTGTGGTGGGATGGGTGAAGCACCACGTCCGACATGGGGCTGAGCCAGCTCCCATTTGCACATCTCTACTCTCTGGTCCATGCCACTGGTTGGGAATACAGGATCACTTAGGGGCAATGGAGGAAGCTCAGCTGAGGCAAGGCAAAGCAGAGATGTGTCTGAACTGGAGGAGCTCAGCTTACCACGGGACAGCCAGGGCTCAGGGAGAATGCTGTGCCATGGGCTGGAGACCAAATCCTCACTGGCAGGGCTGGCACAGGCATGAGGGTCTGAGCAGTGGGGAGCAGCCTTGGCAGGAACGAGGGCTGGGGCACAACATGGCATGATTTACACAGCCAGGAGAGGTTTTATGTTTTTAACCAAGAAACTCTGGATGCAAAATGAGCAGGGATGGAACTGAGGAAAAGCTCAGCCCAGGATGGGCTGCAGTCCCCCATCACACAGGCCCTTCCCTGAGCAGGTCTGTACACCCCCAATGGGGGATGCACCCTAAGGGATGGGTGCATTTAAGTGCTACCTGCCATCAGAGGCTACCCCTCATACCCAGAGGCTGGGAGGCTGTTGGTGCCAGTGGGATGAAGGTGGGAAGGCAGGCTCAGCCCGGGAGGAGAAGCTGTTCTGAAAGGCCTGGAGCAACATGAGCATCGTCATGACCTGACCCCAGACCTGTACTCCCAGCTGGCCAGAGCATCCGTGGGACTCCTCCCAGTGGGAAGTGGGGGGTGGCAGGGTGGGCTGCTTGGAGGGCCCACAGTCTGGGTGGCGGCAGAGAGGTGCCGGAGGAGTGTGCTGCAGGCTGGGGGCCAGACAGGCACCCCCTCACTCTCACTCTCTCTCTCTTTCCTCTCTGTGCCTCTCTGCCGGTCGGCTTGCTACATACCTCCTTTCCTACATATTTTCTTGTTGGGCTTTCGGGTGCATTCCTTGGAAATCCGTTTTACTGTAAAATGAATAAAAGACTACAAAATAACAGGAGGCTCCACTGGTGGGAGTGGGCATGCAATCACAACCACGCTGCTACCCTCCCGCCGCCCCCGGGACCGCGGGAGGTGGGGAGGGAGCGTCGCCATGGGAGGAAAACTCTGGGCCAGCCGTGCTGGGCGGGAAGGAAGGCATGATGCATTCCGTGGCCAAGGGCCCCAGAGACACAGGAGTGGAGCCAGCCAGCCTGGGAGAAGCCACTGGCCTGCCAGGCTGCTCTGTTGTGCACAGCAGACCCACTGCGGGTCCCTTCCAGCCCGCTGCAAATCCCTGGGGGCTTCCTGTTGCGGTGAGGCTGGGGCGGACACACGGGCAGGCGCTGCCTCCTCTGCCCTCTACTTACAGTTCAGGTGGGATCCCCTACAAAGGAAAAGGTTAGACAAGGAGGCACCCAGCACCGCTCAGCCTCACCCCAACAGGACCATGCCCCACGGGTCCCCAGCACCCCAGGCTCATCGCTCTGCCGCTGTCCCACCGGCGGACGGAGGAGCAGCCAAGCGATGTGTCTGCCGGTGCCCCCCAACCTCCCATCCGTACCAGGGCCCAGAAAAGGGCTCTGTGGTCCCTTTCTTGCCGGAGCATCTTCCCAGGGAGAGGCAGAGAGTGTTCCTCCCAGCCGCAGCCCACGCCCACAACTAGCGCATGGACCTGGGGAGGGTGGGAAGCAGGGAGGAAGGACGAACTCGAACCAACTCAAGACAGAACCTGGCACTCGGCGCCTGGGGAGCACAAATCAGCTTGTCACTCTGTGGATCTGCGGTCAGAGAGTCGGATTCAGATTTAGCAATACAAGAGAGGAACCCGTGACGATGCCATGGAGGTGGAGGGGTGGGACCGGGAGGCGTGGAGGAGCAGGAGCACGCGAGACAGAGATGGCAGCTGAGGGCAAGAGGGCAAGCTGCGTGGCCAGAGAAAGCTTTCCACAAACAGACAGCATGCTGCAGGGTCCACAACCACATGCTTCAAACACAACACCCAGGTGAGACCAACCACTGCTGGGGAGGGGTGGAGTGACCCCCCCCTCACCCTCCTGCGGTCACCCCAGTGGGGACTCACCATCCTCCGTGGGGATGTAGATGTTGAGGTACAGACAGTCCTCGTTGGGGTCCTGGATGTATGTGGCCACGATATCCAAATTGGAGGTAAACCAGATGGGCAGCATGATCTCAGGAACGGCGTTGTGGATGTTCTGGGGGCAGACTGGTGAGAAGTGGGTAGCGTTCCTGATGCCTGACCAGGACGGTGGTGGCTCGGGGGGCATGAATCTCTTCTCCCCGACTGGGGGGGCAGCATAAGGAACCCCCAGGTACTGGTCCACAGGCCCCAGAATCTCACTGGGCAATGGCACACGCACCCCTCGTAACTTCCCATAGTGTGTGTTGACAGTTGGTGAGTAGACCTGGCCCTCCATCTGCACAACCATCGAGGCAAAGCTCAGGACCCAGAGCAGGTCCCAGCTGGCCACCAGCTCAGGCACTTGGAGAACAGGGGGGAAGAGAGGGCTTCTCCAGAGTATCAGCCACATTGTCCGGGAGAAACAGCACCAACATCCAGGCCTGAAGCTCCTGGGGCGAGGGCTCAGGGCATCCCCATCACATCAAGCCTCCGATTTGCCCGCCGGGAACACACGGAGCAGGAGAGCCGGGAGTCAGGAGCGTGCAGCCCAGCCACACCTTCTGCTGGGTGAGTCGAGAGATGTGCCACTGGCTCCTCACAGCCTCCCAGCTGCCCGCTGCTGCCTGCCTGCCAACGGCCCAGCCTGGAGGTGACTGCTGATACTGTGGAGAGATGGAGGGAATTAACAGCAGACTTGCTCTGGGAAGAGCTGCAGAGCAGAAGGAGCCAGGATCCCTGGCTGACCCTCCCACCCATGGGTGCACACTGGCTCTGCCACCACCCAGGCAGGTGGCTCTGGGAGCTGGCAAATGTGGGCAGCACAAGTGGAGCATGTGCAGACACATGGACTGTGTCTGCCTGTGCCTCCAGAGCCTGTCCCAGAACTCAGGGGCCAACCCTGCCCTTGCCCTGCCCAGGTGATCCCCACAGCCGTCCTGGGCAGCAGCACGATGCCCCCGCCCCATGCTGCAGGAGGGTATCAGCAGCAGATTATGGGTGCCAAGATAAGCAGGGCAGTGCCACATCCCTCCCCACAAGGAGCCTGTTGGACACCACTGGTGCCAAGCACGGCCCCGGCACAAGAGCCCATTGGCACCTCTCCTCTCCTGGCTGAGGTGGAGCAGCCTGCACTCACAGACCCTGCAGCCTGTGCTCCTTGCCTGGGCTGCTTGCTTCCCCGTCCGAGTGCCACAACCCCACCTCATACACCCGCAAAACAGACCCACGTGTCCTACCAGGCACCCATCTCACCCACACACACGCTCTCCACCAGCTTTCCCCCTCCACGTGCCACGGGCCGAAGCGGCAAGACCCCAGGATGGGAACAGTCACAGCGCCCCTGGGCATCTGCCCTCCCTCCTACCCGCTCCCTGCCCAGGCTGCCTCCGGGGCAACCCTGGGGAGGCAGAACTCTGCTCCCACATCCCCCCCCAGCCGGGCTGGCAGCATCAGGGGGAGCAGCTGTGGCAGCCCCCGTGGGGCCCGCGGGGAAGGGAGGGCACTGCAGATGGGGTCCCGCGGATGTGTGTCAGCGAGCAGCGCTCCTGTGCCAGGGAGCCCTCGCCGGAGGCTGTGTGGTTTCTCAGCGCTCTGCCCTTCACCTCCCGCACCGCCTGTCGCATTCAGGGCTTATGTAAGTGCCCCCCCGGCTTCCCCCGCCAGCACCGCCGCTCCCGGGGGACCCGGGCAAGGGAAGCCGCCGGGGCTGCACCCTCCCGGTGCTCCCCTCACCCCGGCGGGGCGGGCACGGCATCAGCCGGCGGCCGGCTCCGCTCCTCGGTGGGCGGATCTGCAGCCGGGTCCCTGCTAAAAGGCACGGCTCGGTGGCGGCTCAGAGGATGCTGGCTCGTCCTCTCTCAGCCACATGTCCTCACCCCGGGAGAGAGGGCAGCGGTGGTGAGGCACCTCCGTTTTGCCCCAGGGCATCCTCTATGTGCCCACCCGGTATATCCCTCCCAAGCTCAGAGGGGAGCAGAGCTGCCTTGAAATTATTGGAGCACAAAATAAGGGCTGTATGCAGATGGGAGGATGCAGCTCTGGTGGAGGTTCAGTTGGGCAGGGATTCCACAAATGGAGAACACCTCATCCAGCGAGGAAAATCCGCAGGAAAATAAAAACCAAAACCACCACCAAAAAAAACCCCAAATCCTCCAAAAAACCAAACAAAAAAACCACAAGAAAACCCCACCAAAACACAGCACAACCAAGAAACCCCACAGAGGGTGTCTGAAATCTGTACTGCACATGTGCAGGCAATTCACTGCTGGTCATTAAGGAGATGGGCCCATGCTGTGCCTGCCCTCCTGATATGCCCAGAGAACTCAGCAGGCTCAGAAATCAGGGTACAACAGTAAAAAGAAACACTCAGCCCAGAAAATCATGTTATTGCATTCAGCCCACCCGAGTAGCAAGGCCTCACAGGGCTGGGCATGCAGGCACCTTTCCAGAGCCTGCAAAGGGACAGCAGGGAATTCCAGACAAGGAGGGCAGTAGAGCTGATGAAGAGAAACAGTCACAACACTGCCTCATCCATGGCACAGGGATGACCTGAGGGCTGAGCTATCATGACTGGGGCTGATACTGCTGTTTCTGACCCCCATCATCGCTGCACATTATTCCCCTCCATCTCTTCCTGCCCCACCGGGCAGTGACAGAAACACACCCAGCAGGAGCATGGCACTGTTGCATTATCCCCAAAAAAGATGCCAAAGTCTAAGAAATAAAAGCTGTATCGAGGGACAAATACAGCTGAGGCACCCAGAGACCCCAGGCTCAGCTCTGCCCACTACTGCTGGAGCTGCCTCTGCAGCACAATGCCTTGGCTGCTCTGCTCTGCCTGCAGCTCTGGAAGAAAACCATCATTCATCCAATATTCCTTTCTGCAATGCTCCTTCTTCAGCAGAGAACTGGCCTCTGCCTAACAGTGACATCCCAGGAGTGTAGTGCTGGCTCAGGACCCCCCCAAAGCTTTATCCCTAAGCGGGAACTCAAAAGATGCTTCACACCCACTGCTCTGCCTGACATAGCTGGAAGGCAAACTGCCCAGTGCAAATCTTCTGCTCAGGTTCCTTCAGGTGCCGCAGGTTAGGATAAAGCCAATTATTAATGACTGTCATATCTAATTTGTATGACTGGAAGCTACAGGCAGCTTCCAGTCTTTATGTTAGTGCATACAGTGCTCCCCGCAGAGCCATTTCAACCGATCCGTCATCATTTTCTGTCTGCAGGAACACCACAGCCCTGCCAGCAGCGGCTTATCAGCTGATTTCCCAACTCCAGAGCTTCCTCAGGGCTTCAGCCACACGCTGCCATGGGCACTGCTGCTCCACCAACTCCTCCAGCCAAGCAATTTCGTGGCACCAGGCAGTGCCACTACACAGCTGCCCAGCTGGGCTGTGCACATCAGTCACAGGGCTGGATTCACAACCCACTTTGCATCCACAGAGTGGCTGCACATCCACCATAACCACCCTCTCCTGACACAATGAAGAATCTCTTTTCTACAAATCACAGCAAAAAAAGGCTTCTTCTACAGCTCCTCAGAAATACATTATGATGATATTCCTTTGGGTTTTTGTTTAATCCTCTTCCATCGTTCTTTTAATAGCTTTTAAAAAACATGGAAATCTGAAGATAAAAAACATAAGATAGAATTAAAGCTCCAAGTTCCAAGTACACATCCTTAACTTTAGCAAAATGATGCTACAGGACTTAAAACTGCCTCCAATTATGAGTTTTACAAAGCATGAGGCACAGAGGTGAGTTACGTTAGCTACAGCCAAGTATGTTCAGATATGGAGATGCACAGTCAAGGCCCAGCAGCCCTAATGTTACCCTGGAGAGCCACAATGTCTTAACACTCAAATCCAGATCACGGTATTTTAACATTTGTAATTCTGCATTTGGTTCCATCATTTTTTAAAGACTCTTTCCCTCCATCTGCCCCTGTCCCTGCAGCACAGAATAAAAGGCACCCAAACAATCTCAGTGACATGTTTCTAAAGCCTTCCTATGTTTGGATTGTTTTTCAATTACAAACCCAAAAAATGATGCAAACCCTATATCTAGAATTCCCTGGGTTTCAAATGCCTGATTTGGGATGATTACAATACCCCTGTAACACATCTGATACCCTCACATTGCTGTTCTGTGCTCTGTGCTTTCTGATGTAACTTCATGTTAACATAACATTTAGGATGGGAATTTAGCCTTAATTTAATACTGACAGGCTGCTATGAGAACCCAAGCTTAGGCCCCTTCACTGTGGGCTGTTGCATGTGCCTTGCATTGCTGCCTGCTGCCTCAAAAGCTCTTAAGCTTCCTCTTTGGTCTTCCAAAGCATGCAAAATAACTGGGAGACCCGAGAAAGGACATTTCATCCAGGGAAGCAATTCCCCTCGCATCCCATGGGAGGTGGGAGCAAAACTTTCCCAGTTTTGCCGCCTACAGCACTCTCATTCTTCCCTCCAGCAGTGAAGCCAAACGTGTCCCCCAGTGAAGATGGGCTGCAGGGAGGCAGCCAGGAGCTGTGCCTGCCAACTTAGAAGTGAAACTGGGCTGGGCTGGGCAGATACAGCCAAACTGGGAATGCTCAGACGGGCACACAGTGAGAAGCTGGAAGGATAAAGACACCACAGGCATCCCAGGTCGCTCTGCCAGGCCGCTGGTGGGTGAGCAGAGGAAGTGAGGCTGCTGGCTGTTAGGGATGTTATTCATGTGCTTCGGAAAACAAATGCTCCATAGGTATTTCCACGGCCACACTGTCTGCCAGACGGCTTCCTCCTCAACAAAGAGACGCTCTCCATGGAAACCTGGGCGAGTGGGATCCTCTGGAAGCCTCTCTGGCAGATGCATATTCAGGCATCTCAACACCAGCCAGACAAGCCGGATCCACACCTCCTCTGGCAGAGGGCCGAGGAGATGTGAGCAGACAGCCTGCTCTCATATTGGACCCTTCATCGGGGCCCAGCCTCCTGCCCTGGAGCACTTGGGCTGACACAACCCCAGGCTCATCACGTTGATGTTGTGGCTCTATGTCCCGTGTGGTACAGAGGCAGGACAGACCTCAAACCACCCAGCTGGCACGGATGGATGATCTCCTTCCAACAGGGTGTCCCACTGCACCCTCCAGCCACTCTGCCTTGTGCAGCTCTGCTCACCATCTGAGCCCGCTGTGTTTTAATGAGAGGTAACTGGGGGCCAGCCCATGCACCCCAGAACAAACATGCACCTGGCAAACAGCGTGAGAAACCTCTGCCTCCTCTTTCCCAGGGCTACTGAGCTCCAAACCCTTCCACCAGCCTGTGCTCCTGGAGCTCAGGCTGCTGCTCAGCTCTCAGGCAGCAGCTGCCAGATGCGCTGCCCACCCTGCCAGCTTCTCTCCTCCACTGGGCAGCGACCCCAGCTCTCACCCACTCCCATCCAACCTGGCCCATAATGTGCTCCCTGGGGAGCACAGAAGCTGCAGCACAACTGGACTGCTGCGCTTGTGTCCATGTGTCCCAGAGGCTCCTCATGAGCATCCCTCTGCCTGCAGGTCTCGGCTCACACCCTCTGATGCCTGTGCCTTGGGTCAGTGCTTAAGGATAATACTACAGAGCAAAGCTGGTGGTTTGTGGATTGTGCCCAGTGGGTCTTTCTGACCCACCCCAGGTTACCCATC